ATTATTAAAAGCAGCATACTGCCAAACACCCTCTTAAGTTTGATAGAGGGAAGTAGTCATCTTAGTGTTTACCTTTTTTAAGTTGGACTCTCCAACCAAAATGTGGCTAGTGAGCCATGGGAAGTATCCAAATTTGTATGGTAGTGTTTGTGTATCCGGTACCTATTTATATCCATCACGTATTTATTTTCTCTTTTTAACACGTAATCGTTACAAAATTTATAAAAAAATATATCACAAGAAAAATTCATTTGTAAACTATAATATTTTTAGGACATGGGATCGGAGAGTGAAAAGAATATTGGTTGTGTGGTTGCTGAGCTATGTAGAATATCCAAAGAAGTAATTACCCATTCGCAAAAAAATATTCTTATCATTAATTCATATATTTTTTCATTATTTCATATTTGGCGAACATGAACATGCTACATTTGTCAATAACTATCTTATTTACTTCGTATTCACCATTCTTATTAAGCATACTGTTTTACCGATAATCAAGTAGGTCATCAATTTTTTTTTCTTTTCTACTCTTTTTCGATATCTTCGTATTCCAATAACTAACCCATCAAGTTTTTCTACACGTGTAAGCAGTTTATTACAAATGTTACATCTTATAGAGTGGTTTTAGCAACTTTACATCTTATTGTTTTTATTAAGAGCATAACAAATACTCTATTTGTCCCAATTTAATTTCTGGGCACTTTTTTGCAAATATTCCAAAAAAAAGACTTTTTTAGTTTAAAAAAGAATAATATAGAGTGCATACATTCCATCTAGAAGATTCACAACTAGTAGAAGTATTATAGTAATGATAAATATTCACCTTTTATCCGTTTTAATGAAATGTGCAAGAAAAATGTAGCAATTAAGGTGTGCGTATCCAAACTCGTAGTGTTTGTGTATGCATTCATCAGTTGGGTGTTAAAAGTATACTTGTACCTCATACTTTTTCCCTCTAAATTTTTTTCCCCAGTTTGACTTGGTATGAAAATTAAAAAAGTTAAAAAATACAAAGATTTTTCATGCTTTTCACTTGATGTGATGGAATAAAATGAATAGTGTAGATAAAAAATAGGAATCTAATGGTATATTTATATATTAAAATTTTGTTGCCAAAATAAGAAACGAGAAGGGAGTGTTTAGATGGCCCAAAAAAGTGATAAATAAATTAATAGACGGAGGGAGTATTTTTTCCTATCTCGTAGAAAAAATTGTACATCTCTATGTATTTTTCTAAAACTATGGTATTTGAGAAATACAAAACACTGGTAGTATTATAAACCAAAGAGGCAATACCAAATGCACAATCAATACATATTATAATGACTAACAATTAACACTCCAATGCAACAAGCCAAGTTTGAGTGGCACACTTTATTTAAAAGGAAATTAATTTCTCGATAATGAGACAAATGTGAAGAGAACTCAGCATTGAAGCTAAGTGAGAAATATATAACGTTTTAACTATGCATACAGAGATGAACTCACTAGCTCAGAATTCCATACAATATCATGCACACCAGTACGACATTGATAACATCACATAACAATCATTAAATGAATTCACAAGTCACAAATAATTACCTTAATTCTTCTTTATTAATAGCTCATACTATAAACACTAGGCTAAGATCATACATCCTTGTTCACAACCTTATCTTCGGACTTAGAGCCACTGCCTATGGCCATGACTCAAGTCTACCTTACTCAACACACTACAATACAATACGACTTGACCAACGAAGGAATTCTGTGGTACCCCTGTCCCCTTCGCAATGACAGTTTGTGGATCCCGTACATACATTTTAACCCGTAGCCGCCAGATATCAAATCCGCGGGGCTTCTTCTACCCATTGACATTTATATCCTCTTTGGTAGCTTAATCATTTATTTACAACACCTCTTCAATTCAGACTTATTCCAATCATCAATCTCAATTCACTATTTACTTTTAAAACACAACGAGATTATATTTAATTATAACAAGCTAAGAAAGATAACAATAATCAGATAATCAATCATATAACACAGTTAGCGGCCTAGTGTCGGATATAAACACCATTCACTTACTGTCATGCAAGACTTAAAGCCTCGGAATCAATTCGGTTCTAAATCGGGACAAACAAACGAGAAAATGGCCGAACAGTCTGTCGGTCTGGTACCTGTTACGGTACATTCGTACCCCCAAGCGGTACCTTGGTACCGTCGGTCTGGTTCCCCGCGTAGGTATCGGCAATGGAAATCCTTCTGTGGCGGTAGCACGGTACCGCTAGGCGGTACCTAGCTACCATCTGACATCGGGAAGACACCGAAACAACAAATTTCGATCCAATTCCAAACCATTCAATACGTATAAAGTTTTTAAAGATTATTATCATGCAAATCACACTTAAAAGTAAGAAACATATGTGGTTGTTCTCGTTCAATCAATTCCAAAAATATCATATAATATTAATAAATCATAACTCAACTATAATAAAATAAATCACGTATTCAATCATACAAAACTACGAACGTGAATTTCAAGCCTATATACATAATCTAGCGCTAGATGTCCACGTACTCACCTTGATAATTTGACGAATAAAATAAATCAACAAACGAAAAAGATGAACAGTGGTGACGACGGGTCCAACAAAATTATCTTTAAATGAGTCAAAAAAATAACACATTACTCACAACACTAAAATTCCTCTGTTCCAAATATCATGTACGTTACCTGTATGTGTTGGAGTACCTGAAATACCTTATTGTCTGTGAAAACATAAGGACATAAAAAGTATATTTTTCAAACACCAACACACTTGTCACAAGACTAAAATTTCCCACTTCCAACTATCACATACATTATATGTCTCTTTTTCATTAATTTAAATACCATTCATTAATTTAAATACCATACTGTCTGTGAAAACATAAGCACATAAAAACTAGTAATATTTTGCCCCTTCTTCATGCTTATAATGCTTCTTAAATACGTCTAATACCAAAAATCCTCAGACAGTAACATTACATGACTATTTCCCAATAATTTCCATTTTTAAAAAAATCACAAACACTTCTCACATGTGTTACAAAATCTTATACATCATATTGTCTGTATGTTTAAGTTAAAAAACTGAACATTAAGACAATCAATTGCTGAAATAGGAGTTTACTGTACGGAGTAACTTACTTGTAAAGGTAGGAAAGAATGGAGGTTCTTTATATATACATTATCACGCACAAATTCCTTCAAGAAAGGTTTTAAGATTGACGATAACAGTGATAGAAACGTACAGATGACATGTGAAGATTTACAATGAACATTGATGATGATAGTGGTGACAATGATGCCGACGGAAACTAGTGATGATGACGCACAATGGTCAGGAAGAGCCTCCGCCGTGTAGTTCTTGTGCCGGCAACAAAGGATGGAGGGCCGATATCGAGAACGGATGGAGGGCTAGTGGAGAGAGGAAGTCCGGATACATCGGTTGTGTCACAAAATTGATCGAAAAGCTTGGGTAGTTGGCGACAGAGGTGAGAGATCGTGCGAGGGAATGAGCGAGGGAAAAAGGAGGAAAGCAATAGTGGGGTGGGGGGTGGGTGTATATGGTGGTCATTGGGGTACCCGTATGGTGTACCTAGGCCTGTCAATGGGTTGGGTATAGACCCAAACCCGTATAATACCCTTTATTTTTTAGTGGGTTTAAGAATATAAAAAATACCGTGTACCCGCCCCCGAATCTGTACTCGTTATTTTTTTAAAATAAAGGGTTGGGTATAGGACAAGTAGTCCTGACCTGTTTAAAACCCGTGCCGGTTAAATAAATAGATAATATTAAATATTACAAAATCACACCCCCCTTCTTTGCTACTCATTTTCTTCTCCAAATCTATTTGTATTTATTTCACCACATTAGAGACATGTACACGCTAGTTTATGTAGTAGTATGAAATGAATAGTTTGGAATTAACTGTAATGTTATAAAGAAGATTCTTACAACATGAATGAATGTGACAAGAACGTTGATTATGAATTTAAATTTTTTTTACAGACTTTTGATAAAAAAGAATGATTTTTGTTATAGTAACGTATTAGTTTTATTTTAGTTTGTATTCAATTAAGATGTTTTTATTCATAGTATTTTCACTAAATTTTTTTCAATTATAAAAATATAAAAGACGTCATCTTTTATCACGAGTATAACCGACCCGATACCGAGACTCAATGGTTCCAAATCTAGGATTAAGCTTCAAGACCATCGGGTCAATGGGTACGGGTCAAGATAAACTTTTTTTAAAAGCGTTCGGGTTCAAAACACTATGGACTGCCCCGAACCCAACCCATTGATAGGCCTAGGTGTACCCCTAACGGGACTATATATTTTTTATTAAACATTTTTTAATAGTTACATGTAAAAAAAACTTCATGGTTTAAAGTAGGGGTGTACACCAGACCAGACCGAAACTGGGAAAACCGGAATCACCTTAAGTTTAGGACCGGAAATCAGACCTGTTAGATTCTGTTTCGGATCGGTCCTATTTTTTTTTCCGATCCGATCCGAATAAAAACCAAAAAACCCGGAATTTGTTTTTTATTTTTTTTGTCAAATTGTTTATACTTGTTTTTCAACAATGTAGCTTGATTTGAACCCCACTCTTAACTTTTATAGCCATTGGGTGTGTTTCAATAAACTATTGAGGAATTAACCTAATGCAAAATAGTTTGAATTCAAGCAAATAATGATGGGAGATCATTAGTTTTCACACGAATCACATATAAGCAAAAGTTGGTTGGATGCAAATTTGTATGATTTTATGGTTTAATTAGAGAATATGTTGTTTTTATATGGCCATCATATAGAGCTATATTTTTATTGCCTTCACCTAAAACGGAAAAGAAGTAACCACTAAGGTCAATTTCATCTTGCGTAATTGCATATATTCAACTAAACATTGAATATTTCAGATTATAAGAACCTTTGTTTAAATGTTACATATATTGAAATCACACTATATAGCTAAATTCATTATAAAATATGAATGCAATAAGAATGCATGATAGTGAGATACAGAAGATGATTTAGGGAAATGGACACAATTAAGATTAACAAATTGGAGGTCAATATCCCAAACCCCCAAAAAACCTTCGAAAAAGGTTTGAATCCATAGCAGAAATAGGTGTCTATACCTCCCCATAATGACAAATACAAATCTTAAAATCACCAAAAACCAGAATTTATAACTCAAATTCATATAATTGAATAAAGAGAGGATATTGGGATTTGGAAGTACCCGAAATCAATGACGTGCTTGCGGAGATGGGTCGGAAAAAGACTGGCAGCAGATGGGAGCATGGATGGTTTGCGCAGATGGGTCGGAATTGGCTGCTTCGTGTGTACCTGGAGTTGTGGCCGGCACTGGCCTGCAAGGTGCCGGATAGGATTTGCAGCAGGCAGCAAAGATAGCCTGACCAATGATTCTCTAACCTAGATATGAAGCATATGGAATGGGCAATAGGTAAAAAGGAACAGAACTTTAATAATAACAAAGGCCAATGGACGGAAACATTCTTTATGAGGGCAAATATGGAAGAAAAAAACAAGTTACAACTCGAACAGCTTAGTCTTAAAAAAATGGATGGAAAAAGTACACAATAATAGAGGGTACCTAACCCTCCCTCCCATATATATATATATATATATATATATATATATATATATATATATATATATATATATATATATATATATATATATATATATATATAGGGGCCGGTTCCCGTAAGAATGCACCTTGTGGAGAGAAATAAGAATAAAATCTAGCCGTCGGATTTGATGCATCATGCGGCTCAGATTGCATCTTGCGCTCAGATTTTGAGATAGTGCATTTTCGAAGGTTTATGGTGCTTTTCGACGTGATGCATTTTCGAACCATTTTGGTGCATCTAATTTTGATGAAATCTTGACCCTTAGATCTTACAATCTAAAGCACCAGATTCATTCTCATTTCTCTCCTAAGATTGCATTCTCACCAGAACCAAAATCTATATATATATATATATATATATATATATATATATATATGTATGTATGTATGTATGTATATATATATAAATATGTATGTATGTATATGTATGTGTGTATATATATGTGTATGTGTGTGTGTGTGTGTGTGTGTGTGTATATAGAAAGATATTACAAAATGAAGAAAAGTTACAGCAGTACATATTTAAATACCATTTCCTCCAAATATCAGGGGTTTATCTGCTTGCCTTCCGGTTCTATATTTGTCTATCCATGATCAGAATCCTTGTTCGAATGAGCAGACAACGAAATCCATGAACTCAATCATCAACCCTAGTCTCTTCGTTAAAGATCTAATCTCCTCAAAGCTTTATCAAAGGAACAGATGGCGTAAAAAGAAAAATAAAAGAGGGTGGGGAAGCTGAGAATGAAGACGGGAAAGAAGGGGCAAGCGTGGAAGACGAGGAAGAAGAAAAATAAAAGATGTACAGTATCCTTCAATTATAGGGGGTGGGGAAGCTGAAATAGACTATTTTTTGGGTCTCCAACGGAGCAGTTTTTTGGGCTTTTATCTTCCAAAATTGTTATAAAATAGCATTTAGCACTTCCCTTGGAGATGTTCTCAGTCATTTGAACTTGTTAGTTAATAAATATAAACAAGTTTAAAGGACTACAAAGCTAATTGTATTTTCCCCCTAAATAAAAACGAATGCCATTTTGACATATTGATAAATACTTTTGGTGGTTCACAAAACCAATGCTAGATTTACCAAATTTATATTCCAAAAACTGAAAAGTAGTGGTGTTTACTAAAAAGAGGGACCACAAAACCTAAACACGAAAAACAAATGAACAAAATCACCACGAAGAATAAGCATGGGTATGATTTTTTAATGAGCAAATTCGAGCAATAATCAATGGCATGATCTGGATATTGTGCAATATGGAGCTAAAACATGTATACCTTGAAGTAAGAGATGGAGGAGGGAGAAACTGAGAATAAAAAACAGTGTAACGCACCTGTAACTTATTTGGTATTAATATCTGATTTTACAAGCACTAAAAAGTAAACAATCGAATTATAATGGCCAAAATTCAATTATGCACACATGGACATATCATGTGATAGAAAAAAGGTAAAACAAACATTTTTCCTATACACATCATTAATTTCCTATAAAGATTTGCATCAACAAAAGATTAATACCTCTGTTTTAGAATGTATTAACGGGTTTTTCTTTGTCAAAGATATCATGAAAATGAAAGGATTAAGCATAGTAATAAAAAAGGATTAGCTGAAATATGATCAAACGCTCCTAGCAAGAATCCAAACAAAATAATTATAATAAATCTTGATGGAAGCACCATGTGAGTGATTTGGGAATTATGAATGTCTTAGCTGCCTTGAGTTGACCAAATTCATCATTTTCAACCCATGAGATGAAATTTTTCTACAACCCTTAATGTTGTGTTGAGGAATGTGTTATTTTTTTGCCGAAATTCAGAGATGTTTTAAAACTATGAACTGTTTCGGCTTTGGGAATCTTTTGCGTGGTTGTAATTGTTATTCATTCTCTGAAAAAAAAACATTCCTACATCTCTCCTTCATTTTACTCTATCTTTTACTATTTAATTTGTTTGTTCTTTACTTTCCCTCTAGGGCTCTGTCACACATTACAAAGTAGAATTTGACTCTAGGAGGTTTTAAAATAAGAAACACTAAGATTTTAACTCTCCATTTACTCTCAGAATAGTTTCTAAACAATATAGAATTTATAGGATCCACAATCACACACAATAAATCTGAATTCAAAGAAATTACTTTTTGAATGATTAAACACAACGTTAGAACACTAACGTCCCGAAGAATAATAACAATGTAAAACAGTGTTTAAAACAATATATTGAACTGATTTTAGAAAAAAGTAAAAGAAATTGGTTTTCTCTACCTGTAAAATATCAGATTACTCCATTGCTCCCTCCAATTGAGCGGATGAAAACCCCTAGCTGTTGACTACTGCATGAATGGAGGTGCAAAGCATTACAGAGGAATTACTTTTAGAATGATTAAACACAATATTAGAACACGAACAAACAATCCAATTAGGGTTATATCCGAACAACTACAAGAACAAGAAAAATGCACAATATTAGAATACTAACCACCCGAGCAAGAAATACAATAAGGGGAAATTCCTAACAACTATGAGAACAAGAGCAATGCATAGCAGTGATTACCAGAAGATATTGAATTGATTTTAGGTCTAATCAAGAAAACAGGTTTAAGTCATTATTCATATCACTTTTTTTGGATGAAAGCAATGGTCTTATATGTTGATTTAGCAAACAGAAGAAAGTATTATCTTTAATAACATGGCTGGAGTATGCCTTCAGGGGTAATGTTGGTAGTTTCTAAGCATTTTTAATAGAGTATCTGTAAAGTCAACAATTAATATTTGCCTATCTGTAGAAGGGAAAATGTTCAGTTCAGATGGATCATGGATGGAGTAGAGTTTTGCAGTATTAAGAAAGAATTCAAACCTCAGCAGCAAGCATTTCCATTTGCATCCAATGGCATGGAGCATTATAAGGGCTGAATACATATTACCGACAGAATCCACAACATTCCTCTCTTCTAATTGCAGGGGTTGTTGACTGGTAACCCTGTACGTCAAAATAACATTAGTCTGGGTTTGGCTACTTGGGGTTAGGTTCTAGGTTTGGGTTAGAGTCTGTGTTTTTTGGTGTGGGTTTAGGGTTTAGTTCTGCGCTTTAGGCTTTGGTAGATCAGAGCTGGTTTTGGAGCATGATTTAACTTTTTCTATTAGTTAAATTAGGTTGCTGGGTGAATTATGAAGGATAGAAAAAGAAATTGATTTCTCCTTTTCCTCACCAAAATGAAAGGAATCATGTTTTCTCTCTTCTTAGCTTATTTTAGGTTATCATTTTCTTTTCCATCCATTTTTGTTTTCTTTTCTTTTCTATATCATTTTCGTGTCTTTTCCCTCTCAAAATTCTTGATCCAAACGTAGTGTATAGGCTGAGTACAGTTCTTAGACACGAACATCCCTATTTGCCTTATTCCATATGGTAAAAAACTAATGTAATAGGACCATAGCTTTTATACATACCTTCTGCTGGCCACCTTGCATATGGAACAAGCCATAGTAATAATAAGAATATCATAATTTTTTCCTTTAGAATAAGAATATCAAAGCATTTAAATAAATGAACACAAGCAGTGTGAAAAGGAAATGAGGTCTTTCAGAAGAAAATGAGTTGTAAACGAAGAATACAAAAAAGCGACCAGATGTGTGAACCGTCCAATTCTCCACTACCTTCTAGTTAAGTGTACCAAATTACCAATGAAATGTAACAATAAAAAACAGAGATGCTAAGATATGAAATTGTGAAATGGAAGCCACAGAGTTAGGGTTTCAAGAAGCAAAGCAACTACCTTCAAGTTGAAGTGTCTCTTGAGCCCAAGATTTGGTAGCATCAAGTGATTTCCTGAAAGACGCCAACACTGCATTACCTCGCCGTTGCACGACCGGTATTCTGTAGATGCAAGTGAACCTCTTACCAAGCCATTCTGGCAAAGTCATCCAGTTTGATTCTTATTCTTGTCTTGACTTATTAATAAAACAACTCACTATCCAAATGAAAGACAATCGATTATCTATCCAAGAAGATAGAGAGCCGCGCATATAAAAAAGGTCACAAATAGAGTTAAACCAAGTATGGAAGGCATAATCATAGTAGGGTCGGGATATCTCCGCCCTCCGAACAGGTTCTACTTCTCACACTTTTACTACTAACTATGATTGAACACTCAATACTCACATCCAATTTCCCTCAAGCATGTAGTAAATAGGGCAGGGGGGACATGAGTCGATTCAGTTAACATGAGCGAACAGTTCTGGAGTACACTTGAGTACCTGTTTTTTTGAGTTCTGGGGTTGTTATAAGATTCTAGAATCTTAGTGTTTCAGCACGTGCAGCAGCTGCTTCAATGCAAACATCTGGCCTCTGCACAAGAAATATGAGTGTGAGTATTGTTATCATTTACTACGCACAGTGTGACAGTAATGACGATGCCTCTGTCAACGCTGATGAGAACACTAAGGTTGATGAAACTGAAGAATACTTGAAAAGAACTTGAAGAATGTATTTCTCACCATGTCTAGTTCGAACAAGATCTATTGGCACGCCTGGGGCATATTGTTTCAACTCAGGGATGCACTGGAACAAGATTTATCAATGTTCGAATTAACTTTTAAGCAATCAAACACAAACAAGGGAAAAAAGGAATAAAACATACAATTTTATTGAGAAATTAACTGCGTACCTTTTTGGTTAAATTATCATATCTGGCTTTAGTAATGATAGAAAATGCCAAAATGAAAACAGCAGCTCCAGGAGCATTCCCACAATCAGCAAAAGTGAAAAATCTGCCAAGGCAGCAGTATCAAAATCCCAGGAAAAGCTTTGGGCTGGTCATACCACTTATCTCTTCTGAACAAACTTCTACCATACTTTTTAATCTTCAAGCATTCATTGGGCAGCTAGTCTTCTAAAGTATTCTAGAATAGGCATAAGTGTGATTTTATGGATCCTATTTAATAGAACCCTCCCTCTACACAATAATCTAAAGATGATTAACATTCATATGGCATCAAATTGTCTGTTTTGTAAAGAACAAGAAGACCATTGTCAATACCCTCTACACTGCACAATGTTTACACAGGTTTAGCCACACTTTGGAGATATTATTTAAGAGTCTAACAGAAGGGATCATTTAACTCTCTCCCAACACCTCATGAAATGGTTTATGACTGCTAACAATACAAGGTTTGAAGGAAATCTTTAAGGAATTCTGTTGGGAATCATAGCTTGGTCTATATACAAGAAGATTAATGCTATAAGATTTAAAGTGGTTTAGGGGGCTAGTGCTGATTTGTTGATCAGTGAGGTCTTCAAGGTTATTCAGAGTTGCGTTTTCAGCCAAGGGGGAAAAAATGGATGATCCAAGAAAAAGAATCTAGCAAATGATTTGAAATGCAATTGATTCATTGTATTTGGTGGAGCTAGATATATGAACTGATTATGTTAGACTCACTCTATATTCAAATGTTAGATTTAATTTCAGACGTAAAGGACTTGGAGTTGTTAGTATGGAGGATTTTAAAAGCACATAAACCCAATGTGAACTTGAAAAGAAGAAGAAAAAAGTTGAAGACACCAACGAAAACCTCTTTCTATTATCGTAAATAGAAACGACGGGAGCATATAAATATTATTCTTTTACACCACTATTTAAATAAAGAAAAAGTCAACAAACTATTAAGATCAACTGAGAGCTTGGAAGTGATATAAACCAAAACCAAAAAGTAACTGGTTGACAAATTGCAGGGCTCCCAAAGGCCAAGGATTCAAACAAAAATACAAACATATAGCATGAGCAGAGCATCACACTTAGTCCTTTACCATTGAAAAGATATGACAAGTAGAAAACTACAAAGTGCATCACATTCTAGATAATCTGTTAGACGTGATGTCATTTATCAAAGGTGTAGTATGAGCATTCAATTAGTAACAATGAAATCACACAGCATTCATTGGGCAGCTAGAAAAATAGCAATTATCATTAATCAAATATCCAACAAATCAAACAAAACAATCCAAGTAATCCAAATACAAACAATACTCAAAAAACCAGAAAAAAAATAAAATATTAGAATTCGATAAATTCAATAAAGAGAATGAATTAGGAATTTTGACATACCTCAAGAAATAATACTTACCTTAATAATGATGTAGGAAATTAGAGCAAGTGAAATTGAACCTGGAAATTTAAACATGGCAATTAAAAACTCAATCAAAAGCAAACTCTGTAAATTCAAAAAAAAACCATGAAACAATTGTCTAACCTGGAACCAAAGCACAGGACTGTGATGCATTCCATGTCCAAACGCCTATTATAAATAGCGGAATGATTGACAAAAAAGTAACGTGTGTTTAGATTATTATTATTATTAATTAGGAGTATATTATGGAATTTACAACCCAGAAACCATCCAAACGGCCAAAAATAATTTAAAGCAATGCAAATCAATTACCTGATTATTATTGGGGAAACGGATATCAAACAAAGTCTGTAGCAACCCATCGCATGATTCGCTGAAATTCCAGAATTAAATTGCTACGCCAATTCAAGCATTTACTCCTACAGCAGGTGAAGCCGTGAATTTCGCAAGTATTTACTCGGATTACACAGAAGGATGAATTGTGGCAGAGGAGTGTCCTCTGTCAAGAGCGGCTAAGGGTGGTGGGGTGATTTCTCCGAGGGAATTTCGGGTATCATTCAATGAGAACGTGAATGAAGGGGAAGGGGTTCAAGGCCAGCAGTGCACTAGTGCACGACAGTGGGAGATTGTGGGATTCAGTACAACCTCTGCATCTTTTGGGAGAGACTCGGAGCTTGCTTCTGTGAAGATGATGTCCATGCTCTTGGACCCCCCTCAGCAGCTGGAGATGATGTAGGGCATGAATTCGAGGAGGACGATGAGGACCCTTTCTTAGAGGATGATTTGCCCGAGGATTACAACAACAAGATTAAGTGTAGCCCGTTAACTATCATGCAGTTGGTGAGTTTTGCTCTGATTGTTACATCTTTATGTTGTATTTTAGCCATCCCCGTGTTAAGAAAGATATCTATTGGTGGTCTCGAATTGTGGAAATGGGTCTTGATGGCCTTGCTGTTGATCTGTGGGAGGATCATATCTGGCGGGGTGATTAGAGTGGCAATCGTGTTTATGGAGAGCACTTTTATACTGCGAAAGAGGGTGCTGTACTTTGTATATAGTTTGAGAAGTTCCGTGCAGAATTGCGTTTGGTTGGGTTTGGTTTTGATAAGTTGGCTATGCATATTCGGCACGAGGCTTAAGAAGGTTGCGGAAGGGGCAATACTCCCACAGGTGACTCGACTTTTGATATGCTTGTTTGTGGGAACGTTGATACGGCTAGCAAAGACTGTTGCGATTAAGGTCCTTGCTATGTCATTTCATGTCCCTGCATATTTTGATCGGATTCAAGGGTCTCTGTTCAATCAATACGTGATTCAGACATTGTGTGGCGGCCCTCCGTTGATGGGGAATGTGCGTGAACTAGAGAAGGAGAATAAGAGCCATACTTCAATGTTTTCAAGAATCATCATGTCAAAGAAGGGCAAGGTTGAGGAGAGAAGAATCAGCCCTGATTACTTGAGTAGGCTCACTGAGAAGAACATTTCAGCATGGAATATGAAGAGACTGATGGGGATTGTTCGGAAAGGTATGCTGTGGACTTTAGACGAACAGATGAATGAGTGCAGAGGTAGAGATGAATCTGCAGTGCAGATTACGAGTGAGAGACAGGGAAATGTTGCAGCCAAGAAGATTTTTCACAATGTGGCTAAGCCAGGCTCTGTGTGAGTACTACTTATTTACTGTGTGATTTACTTTGTAAAATTCAAAACTAGTTTCCTACACTAGCTTAACCTTTAGCAGCAAACTTGGTCATCAGCATTTACCTTTTTTATATGTTTTGTCTTAAGTCACTAGTCTCTAAGTACACTTTAAATCTGATTTTTTCACATCATTGAATGAAATTCCGAATTAGAACAAGTCACATCAGTCCAAGGGAACTTTTGCTGTTAAGTATCAAGTTATATAGTGGGCTTCATTCCATTTATGAAAATTGGCCTTCCCAGAAGGAGTGAATAGGTGTATGTGTACAGTGTGATATTCTAAGCGCCTTTCATCTGTTATATATATAATTCAACTCGAAGATATAATTTAAGTGCAAAATGACAGGAGCATTTTTTTTAATAAATACGGAGTAGTTTGTAATCAATTTATTTGGGATGGGAAATTATAAATAGCTTCCCAACTGAATGCATTTGATCACGAATTCTCAGTCCATCCCTAAGAGTTGAACTACATGTGCTCCAGACTGTCCCTCCTAAATGTTTTAGTTTTTCATCATTTTTCTTATGAAAGCGTGATTAATTTGTATTGTTAACATGTTTGGGGATAATATAGGTATATTTACAAAGAGGATCTCCTATGCTTTATGAGAGAAGATGAGGCATTGAAAGTGTTGCATCTGATTGAAGGTGGAAGTGATGATGAGACCAAGGGGATCAGTAAAGGAGCTCTGAAAAATTGGGTAATGAGCTAGAGTTTTGTTTCAATGTGTCTCTTTTTTTCCCTCATCATGCAGTATTGATTTCTTTTTCCTATTTACTCATGAATGTTACCAGTTGAATTATGTATGAATTGCATTTACTTCTGAAAAAAGGAGCCTTATCGTCTTCATGTATCTGTACATTTGCCCAGGTCAAAGCATTTCGGGAACAGAGATTTCTTGCATTGTCTCAAAAGGACACCAAAACTGCAGTGAATAAATTGCATCACATGTTGAACTTTTTTGTAGCAGGGCTTGTGGCTGTCATATGGCTCCTTATACTGCAAGTTACAACTGTGAAATTTTTCATCGCTTTATGTTCTCAGATTGTAGTGGTGGCATTCGTGTTTGGAGACACTGCAAAGAGAGCATTTGAGGCCATCGTTTTCTTATTCATAATGCATCCCTTTGATGTGGGTGACTGTGTTTTAATGGATGGAGTTTGGGTAAATAAAATAAAGTTTTCTTGATTAGTACAATAAGATTTCCTTCCTCGTGTTTCCTTCTTTATTTTCATGATTCCTTACAATGTATATCTCCTAGGCCTAGCCTCCATCATTATATATAACAGTGTTTCTAAGACAGGATAACAGTTTGTAATCACATTTGATTTTCTGTTTTTGGATTTCAGATGGTGGTGGAGGAAATGAATTTATTAACAACAGTGTTCCTAAGACAGGACAACAATCTTAAAGTGACTTATACAAACAGTGTCCCGCAAACAAAAATTATTAGCAACTTTTCCCGGAGCCCAAATGCTGAAGAGTCTATCCTTCTATTCAAAGAGGGTGTAAGGGAAAGGAATAACAAGGTATGAATGAAAATTAAGATGAAACAACTTTTTTTCTTATTATCTTATTTGTATATACATAATATATGGTGTATATATATGTATATACAAATAAGATAATAAGAAGAAAAGTTGTTTCATCTTAATTTTCATTCATACCTTGTTATTCCCTTCCCTTACACCATCTTTGAATAGAAGGATGGACTCTTCTCTTCAGCATTTGGGCTGCGGGAAAAGTTGCTAATAATTTTTGTTTGCGGGACACTGTTTGTATAAGTCACTTTAATATTGTTGTCCTGTCTTAGGAACACTGTTGTTAATAAATTCATTTCCTCCACCACCATCTGAAATCCAAAAACAGAAATCAAATGTGATTACAAACTGTTATCCTGTCTTAGGAACACTGTTATATATAATGATGAAGGCTAGGCCTAGAAGATATACATTGTAAGGAACCATGAAAATAAAGAAGGAAACACGAGGAAGGAAATCTTATTGTACTAATCAAGAAAACTTTAATTTATTTACCCAAACTCCATCCATAAAAACACGGTCACCCACATCAAAGGGATGCATTATGAATAAGAAAATGATGGCCTCAAATGCTCTCTTTGCAGTGTCTCCAAATACGAATGCCACCACTACAATCTGAGAACATAAAGCGACGAAAAATTTCACGGTTGTAACTTGCAGTATAAGGAGCCATATGACAACTCCTTGTGCATATAGTCTTACCGATATACATAATGTGTATGCCAAATATGAATTACAATGATAAGTGTTGAAAAGCTACTGACATACATAATGTGTATGCCAAATATGAATTACAATGATAAGTGTTGAAGACCCGTCGTGCGGTCTAAAACAAATTAATAATTTATAAAATAACCTTATAATCAAAAAAAACTATAGCTAGGGCAAGTAAGGGTCGATCCCACGGGGAAAGTTTGTACTTTTTAAAACAATTTTAGTATGCGAATACGTTGTCACGAAAATAAATATGAAAACAAAACTAACTACTACACATATGATAACACTAATAAAACTTATAATAAAATCTTATAAATATAACTTATATAAACAAAGAAGTGAAAGAACTTATAATATAACTTAAACACAACACAAAGGGGGGGTTGAATAAAAAGCAAATATTTTTTTGGTTTTTTATATTTTCTTATTTTTTTTTGGTGTTTTTTGATAAAATGGGGGAAAACAAACTCTAAAGATAATCAACTACTCCAACAAAGGTAACCCAAAAAAACACCGCCAAGAACCCGAAACAAATGAAAAAGAGAACAAACACAAATTGAACAGTACACGTATAGTAAGCACATAGACAATATATTACGTAACTTACGCACTTAAGAATAGAAAAATCAATCAAAGGCCGAGTCGATTCATTTCCTTAACCACAATATGGAGGATTGTAAACTCTCCACACGTTCCGGAGTCATGCAATTCAAAGGCCCGTTTTGAAATATACCTTTGAACTCCAACTCTCTATTCAAGCATGAAAACATACTTCCACTATAGAAAAAGTTTATAAAAGAGAGAATCTATTATGCATTCAACTCTCATACATAATCTATTCACAAATCGCCAATACCTTATGTATTTTAATAAACTTTTTCTCCTAATGATGAACACATTTCACAGATTTCCATGAACTTCTCAAACCAATGACGTTTTTTCTATTCACATAGATGAACATAACATATTTTCAATAAATCAAGAATTGTTTTTGAGCTTAAACAACCTCAAATTAATGAAAACAACAAACATACGAAAACATGACAATCACTCAATAACGAATTCTAAGGAAAATGAATAACTTATGAGGCTAAGAAATCCAAAGTCCTTAAAATCAACAAACACAAAGCACAACAAAGAATCACGTATGAATCCGGAGTTCATTTAACTACCTTATGGAGCTAAAATAGCTTCAACAAAAATCGAATTCCACATACCAACCTACTTATGAAATCAAATTATACAATTCAACCAATTCAACAACTTGCTCAATAATTGAAGAAAAACTAGTTTGAATCAATTCTCATTCATAAGGGATTATATATAAACGCTAAAAAACCCAAAAAGAAGAACACCAACCATTTTTTTAGAATTTTTGGAACAAACACAACAAGCAAAAAAATGTGAAAATTGAACAAAAAGCAAACTTTTACATAGAATTGGAGGAAAAAATAAAAATTGACAAATAAGGGTTACCAATTGTTGAAGAAGATGAAGAAATTGAGGAATTGAAGCTTGAAGGAACAGCCTAACCTCTGCCCGGAGCTACTGCCGACCGCTCGAGCTGTTGCCGCCGCCGCGGCCACCACCGGTCGCCGCCATAGTTCGTAGATTGCAGCTGCTCTAGCCGCTGCTCTATTCTTGATTTTTCCTTCGTTGTTCCCCCCCTTGAATTGTGCAATTTGTCTTCAATTTATAGCAAGAAAATGCCCCGTTGAAATTCTTCCCGTTGGAGCGCTTACGCGATTTTTGTGGAGAGACGTTGAGGGTGACATTACTGATCTGGTCTCCTCTGCTCTTGGGATGTCGCTCAAGTTCGTAGAAGAAAGAAAAAAATGGGACGCTGCTATTAAGTTGCTTTTCCTTTTTCTCTCTTGTGCGTTGAGTTGAAACAAAAAAATGTAGTGGGCTGACTTTATTTTTGATGGGTTTGGGCTCCGGCCCAAATTCAATCTCTTCTTTTCAAAATTAAACTCCATTTTGGCATTTTGCTACATTTCTCTTCATAAAATAGAAAAGTAAAATATAAAAAGTTATTTAAAAAAACTACTATTTGTGAAAGTAAATTAAAATATTTTAAAAATGAAAGTTAAAATAAAACTAAGCAAAACAACTAAAAATTATACAATAAAAACATTAAAAATGCCTAAAAAAGAATAAAAAAAACTAACTCAAACCCGACTTATCAATAAAAAAATTATTTTTTTCACAGATAGGTAATTACTTCATGAACGTGATGCTTTTCTTGACCTCTCCACTAAAAGAGTAAACTTGTTTAGTCTAATATTTGCATCTACTGGTTATGAATCCCCTTGATGGAATTTTATTCTGCCTAGTTTATTTTAATTATGGGCACTTATTCTTACAACAACAACAACAAAACATTAAGGGTCTGTTTGGTATACGGAATTGGTGGAATTGGAATTGAATTGGAATTGAAATTCAATGGGATTCAATTCCATAGAATTGAATTCTGCCAATTTCAATTCATTTTTTACACCATCAATTCGAAATTCACATATTTTTTGTGCTATCAAACACCAGAATTAGAATTGAAGTCTCTAATTCTAATTCCATAATTTGAATTCCATGTACCAAACGAGACCTAAAACAATTCAATTTGGGCATTTACTTTCATGGGCCATGCTACACTTACACCAAAAATTATACCCCATTTGTACACCGCAGTTATACACAAATATTTTGATGGTTTACATCCACACAAATGTTGGTGCGTTAACAAAAATTTACACAGACACAAAGTGTTGGTTGTTAACAAAAATTAGTTTTACATCAATACAAAATGCCGGTGCAAACCTGCAGTGTACAAAATGAGGTACAAAAGTTTGGAGTAGACATAGCTTTATCCTACTTTCATTCCTTTTGTAAATCTAACTCACTTTACACCCCTTTAGCCTCCTGTCATTTATCCTTTTATAAAGTGCAAACCTGACACAAGTTTTAAATCCAAAAAACAGTGGATGATAACCTAAAATGCAAGGTTAGCAAAGCCAATCGCGTCAAACAGCCCAAGGCAATAACCAAATTCAAGAATCAAAAAAAGAAAAACAAAAAATCTGGAACAAGAAAAACTTCAACCATAAGCTGTAATAACCAAATCCAAACAAAAATTATTCAAATCGTAAGCTGTAATAACCAAACCCAAGAAACAAAAGTCTTGAACGAAAAGTCATCACATTAACCCCCACAGAGCATCATTAAAAAGCACATTGGATGGAACACATTTTAACACCAATAAGCAAACCAGTGGATGATAAGCTTAAATCAGAATAAAATTAGCAGCACCAAAAACAAATAAACACCCCAAAACCATTATTCACTCTGTCCGATTGTTTTTCTTTATGTTAGCAATCTTTCTATGAAAACCTAAACGAACCCATGTCCTCCCCGTATAGTAGGTAAGCCAGAGAATCATCCTACACCTAAATTCTACAAACCAAACCCTGAAGAAACACCAATCCCAAAAGCTATAAACCTCCCCAGCCAATCCAATTTCAGATCAAGATGGGTATCTCACGACAGCAAGTTGTGTCCATATTTTCTCATTCGTCATTCTCAAAACCCTCTTCAAGATAGCCAGTCCTGATTCTCTAATAATTTCTAGGAAGCAATCACGTTGTTCACGAAGCATCTGCCAGAGAAAAAATGTGTAATTGCATTCAAATATATGTCATCCAAGTATCTAACGGAGATACAAAAAAATCTAGCATTAAAAAGTAGAAAATTACCAAAAATCCTCGGAGAAAGCTCCTCTAGCACCTGACAGCAACATCACCGTTCATAGAACCAAACATCACGCTTCAGAGACTCGTGGAATTTGACAACGCAAGACACGGATGGTGAATTGGTGGCATTTGACAACGCAAGACTCGTGGCATTTGACAACGCAAGACTCGTGCACAATATGTCAGTGACATCAATGATTCATAACACTTAACATCGATGGTGAATTGGTGATCAAGAAATTGCAAGACTCAAAAAAATCCGTGCATGGGTCCAATCATGTAACTATGTGTTTATGTGTGTCTCTACATGCATGATTATTATGATGTACATGTAGGTGTATGTAAATATGTATTGGCCATGCATAAGTGATAGTATAAAAAGAAAAAGCTACTTACCGCACCTTGGGTAGACTCGTTCTAGTCAGGAACAGTTATCATGCTTAGCCTTTCATCATTTTCAACAAAGTCTCTGCTCTATTGTTAGATCTCTCGGCTGAGGATGATGAGATTTCAAGCAAAATGTGGAGGGCCTAGAAAGTCAAACTAACATCATACACCAATCAAGGGAGAAGAAACTCATATATGAGAATTTACATTGATTTTGCATTTTAAAGCATCAATCACATGAGAAAATAATTATTAGTTGTTTTAAAGTAACCTGCAATTGATTGAATGCTCTCAAGGTGTTGATTGATGATTAAGAATACATCTTTGGGATTCCACTTGAAAGAATCTCAACTTCTCAAAGCCAAAAACTCCTGGTATGAGTTTAATTTTTTTTAATAGTTAACATAAGGTCAAACATGCTAAACCAATTAAAGTTGATCTTGCAATGGTTAGTTTAAAGATGAAAAGAAAGTCTACAAGTGAATAGAATGATATACCAATTAAAGTTGGCTTCATAGAATTCAAGAAATAAAAAATAATTATACTCGGTATAGAGCAAAGTAGTATACCTTCCACCTGCTGGCCTAATATTGAAAAATGAAAGATAGCAGATGACCGTCCTTGCACGCGAAGCATGCAAGAGATGAAGATAATGACCGAGGAAGGTGTTGTAGATCCATTTATATGAGAGTTGGACACACCGCTCATCAATTAAGCCATAGATGATTCAAATATGAAAAATTCATTTAAGATGAACAAAAATTCAGAGGTAGTCATTTAAAGTCTTTTGTAGGTGAATTATTTTTCAATTAATAGTGCTTCAAAATTAGAGTAAGCGGCCTCATAAATTAAGTCATTAATTATTGAAATTTAAAAAAATATAAAATGCACCTTCCATCTATTGTAAAATAAAAGAGGGAAATATAGAGGTAGTATGTTTATAAACAATGATCTACCTTTTTTAAAAGTTCTTCAGCAGAGGACAAAATCTGTTTTCAGTTTTCACATAAACTAATTTCTATTTCTTCTTGGCCATAAATGGTAAACATTTTTTTTAAATAAGAGAATATGATTAATCTCATAAGGTGAAGATGTCACACCTAAATATTGTGAAAAGTTCTGATGCAGGCCTTAGATATATTTCTATTTTACACTCGATTTTACTTCTTTTGTGTAACCTTTATATAAGGCACTTATCCTTTGGAATATCAATCATAATACAATTTTAGCAATTCAGATGGAACAGCAAAATCAAAAGCTTGAAGAACAACGAAATTTGTTTGGCCAGATGATGAAGCAATTACAGGCGAGAGTTCGAGGAGGATCCGCTGCTTCTGAAAAGGAACGGTTGAAGACAATCATCGATCGAGAATCCTCTAATCCCAAACAACAGATCAGACGTTTGGATGAAGGCAATCACAGACAGTTTAACTCCAATTCAATTCTAGATTTTCCCCAATTTGATGGAAATATTGCACGGATTTGGATAAAAAATGTGTCAAAAGGGGACTCAACTATTTGTAATGGAGGAGACTGGAGAAACTGACACAGGAAGGGAATTCATGCACCCAAATCAAGACAGCGAACAGATCTGGAGGAACATAAAACAAAGAGTGTATATGGTTTCTTCCACATAGAGGACTGAGGAATACATTCCACCTCTTAATGCAAGCCATTGACACATGCTCTATTGGAAGAATATGATGAATTGTTCCAAGAACCCAAGGGACTCATCCCTAACAGAAGAGTTTCTTACCACACTACTTCCATACAGCCTAGTGCTTCACCTTCTAACATTTGGCCTGACACGTATGTGGATATCATGGGTTCCAAACAATGAAAGTTACAGATGGTCTGAGGGAGAAGCATCTGCATTTTCGAATTGATCCTGAAAGCACACATTAGTCCTTTGACCTCTCCTTACCACAAAAACTGAAATACAAACTATTTCGTGTTACACCCAAATTAGTCATAATGGCTGATGGCAACAAAACTCAGTGTGCTGTGGTATTGGGAGTGCAATGGTAGAGTGTATTGACACCAGTAAAATGGGGATGCAGTAAGTTTGGGATGGAGATTACATATAATAAAGGTAGTCAACATGGTTTAAGGGGAATAAGACAGAATATCTAAGGTGGAACATAGCAGTTTGGGAAAAATCTTAAAAAACTTCAAGAAATTTGTGTTGGAGGCAGGCTATTTCGACCTCGAAAGCTAATGAAAGTATGTTATTGAATGCAGCGAGTCATGAGGCACCTATAAGCCTTCAAGAGCTACTGGAAACCAAGATGACTGCTACCTTCCAACAGTTTTGGTTATCCAAGCTTGGAGGCTGTACCTAGGAGATTCACCACAAACAAGGAAATCAAAACCTCACTAATGATGCCCCATCTAGACAGTTTGGAGCTGAGACAATTGTACTCTCCACTATAAACTATTCCTTGTTGATTGATATCAAGGGCAGAGGGTCCCATGGCCTAAAACTACAAGAGTATGCCCAAGAGCTCGTACAAGGAAAACCAGTAACTCTACATACATGGAGATCAGATCAGTTTGGGAAAAAAAAGTGAAGCTGGTGGTAGAACTTAATGAGGGGCTTAAGGCTAAACCACTGCAGTGGGAGCATTCCTCACACGTGTCAGGCCAATCAAGAGGAGAAAAAGCATGGAGAAGGCTAAACAGAATGTTACAATGGAAAGAAGGCACATAGACATTTCTTACCTTGTGAGGGAAGGTTTAATTTGTCAAGACTGCAAGAAGGGTGACTCTTGCTAACTTGGACTATTTCAGCCCTTGCAAATTCCTACCAAAGATTGGAATGGTGTTTTTAGCAGGAAGGCAATGATGGCATTTACTGATGATATCATGGTGTATAGGCCCGATTTGGGAGCCCCGTCACAATCACATTGGAGAAGTGTTCAATACTAGGACACACATAACGCAGCAGCTAGCTAATTAAGGGGCTGTTTGGTAACTTCTGAATAGGTAAGTGCTGAACCAGTAAGAGGTCACCATTAAGTGCTGAACCAGTAAGAGGTCTGAACCATTAAGAGCTAGTATATTGCTTAACTATTCAGAGGCAAATGTCTGATCAATTCAGATAAGAGGTCTTAACTATTCAGACTCTGTATAATACTTGACCATTCAGAGGCAAATGTCTGAACCATTCAGACATCTGAACCATTAAGAGGCTGAAACAAACAGTCTGAACCATTAAGTGCTGAACCATTCAGACATCTGAACCATTAAGAGGCTGAAACAAATAGCCCCTAACAAAGATCTAATAGGAAGTTTGTACTGGGAAATTATGCGTGGTTTAAATTAGAACCTTATAAACAATCTGATGCGCAACTAAGAACTAAGGAGAAACTAGGACTAAGGTCAAGGTTAACCAAGTATTTCATGATTCACATCTTAAAGTTTTCAGAGAGGCTTTTATATCATGGAGAAGTCAGAAGAGAGCATACAAGGCTAGGGTGCACTTCTTGGTTAGATGGCAAGGAGTTCCAGAAACAGAGGCAACCTTGGAGTGGTCTGAATCTTTCCAGCAGAGATTTCCAGGGTTCTAGCTCTGAGGACAAATTTTTAGCTATATTTCTATTTTACTCTCTATTTTACTTCTTTCATGTAATCTTTATATAAGGCACTTATCCTTTTGAATACCAATCAGAATACATTTTGAGATATTTTCTTTTTTAACCTCTCTCTCTCCAACACTCTCTCTTCTCTCTACTTGCTACAGAGCCTCGGAACTCTCTTCTTCCTTGAAGAGTTCCAACGCGTGTATCAAGTTCATCAAAATCTGTTCATAAATAATGATCTACCATGTTTTCTGAGATTCTTTAGCAGATGATAAAATCTGTTTTTGCTTTTACTGATTTCTAATTCTTCATGGCCATATTTTTAGTCAACAATCTTTTTAAAATATGAGAACATGAATAGTCTAATAGGATGAGGATATCACACCTAAAAACCTGAAAGAGTTCAACAATTTCTGAGTCCCCTGGAAAAGCGGTTTTCGGTTCACAATCTAAGCAAATATGCCACCAACCGGACTTAAATGAACAGAAATAGAATAACACTAAGGGCCAAGTAGTAGTTCTGGTGACCTGTACCATAAAAGTTACAACTTGCAAATTGAAAATTAGATATTAAGTGTGAAAAGCTAAAATTAAATTTGTAGGATCAAACCGGCTTGTTTTTGGGACAAAATAAGTGTTTGAAATAGGAATCCATTTTCTTTCTTTTTCCCTTCAGGTCCTCAACATTTGTTGTAGAGTCCACCCTCAGGCGTCAGGTGCAAACCCTCAGGTGCAATAATTTATGTTCATTCTCTTAATTTCGACATAAGAAAATCTCTACAAAAAAATACAATAGATAATGAATTATAAAATTATTTAATCAGTCATAGAAAATAAATTCCAACATGAAGGTCAAATAAGAGAAACAAATTTGTCTGAAGCTTACTTACATAATCTCCTAGATGCCAGATGGACATTGCACATGGACGACGAATGTAACACCTAGAAATGGCGTAATGCGCGATCACTTCAGCATTAGCAACCACCTAAATAAAATTTGATGCATCATAAGCTTACTCCTATCATGAGTATATACACTACGATTGCTTTTAACAAATATTTCTAGAGAAATTTTTAGAAGAATGCTTTCAGAGAACGCTCAAATGACTAAATCTAATGTTTCAAATACAGAGATACCTCAGAGTGAGGAATAGGAATAACTCCTAGCTCTTCAAATTCTTTTTGTTGAGTGAGTTGTACTGCCATGGTTGGCCTTCCATCTTCAATACAATTCAGTTTCTTTTGTTGCACACAACCAAACGGTCATCTTCATCATGATCTTATCCAACCACTGTCATAGTTACAACGAATGCTCTCCACGGCAACTCCATCACTCATGAGTAGTTGATGATCAATTATGTTTTCATGATAAACCCGACTAAAGTCCTCTAATAGCGCCTTCAAACCAACAATCTGAGAAGTGAGAACTAACCCAATTAGGTGTTTTCCAGCCAATGTATCTGCTAATCATATTCTATAGTTCTAATAAATATTATTCAAAATAACAATTTGATAGAAATTATTCATTTTGACTAAAAGTTCTAATGAAAAAAAAGCTCTAGGATAGAGGGATTCAAACCTACAGAGAGCGGGACCGAAACCCGTTGCCTTACCCCTTGGCCACGCCTCATAGTAAAAAAATTTAGTGGAAATAATTGTTTTGCGGTTATTAATTAAATACCAATGAAATCAACCGTACAGACTGCAATTGAATTTATGGATTTCTATCCTTCTTTAATTTATATTACTCTGTCGTGATACAATGAGTTCACTAGAATCAATATGACATTTTGAAAAAAGGTATTTCTGTTGGGGGGGGGGATTGTCGATACAACTGTTGATGACCTTGCTTCTAGGGTAAAGGTTCTTGGTAGAGTGGAGAACTTTCTTGTAACATTGTTCATGTCAGCCACTATAGTAGGACCGAAATGGCCTAGAGTCACCTAGCCCATTCCAATGTTTTTTCTTTGGGTTTGCGTACTTTTTCGTGATGTGGAGATGATCTACTCGGGCTCCACTAATCAACGGAGCAGTGTTCTAAGTAGTAGTTCTCCGGCCTATCTACTATTTCATCACAAACGTCGTTTACCCCGTGATCCATCTGTTGCCCATCACCAAGACCCTTTGAGTATTCGTAGTGGCATTTCGACATCTTCATTAATTGTTTGAATCTTTCCTCAAACTCAAAAGAGCTCATCTCAGCTTTTGCATCTTCTCCCAGAGGTCCAGGATAACTAAAGGCATGCATCCTGGCTCTCCTTCCGACCTACAACTCTTTTCCATCCCTCCTCCATTGTTGCCTTAGTCTCCTTTTCCATCAAATTTTGAGATTTCATTTCCCTGAGTGACAATGAAGGGTGGATCCTCACCCTATCTGGTTGTTTGGCACCGAGGGGATAAAAAGGATCTGCATCTAAAGAGAGTGCCTTGTAGTGGACAGGCTCTGCGGTGGACATTGCAGGATGCCATGATACTTGATCATCAATGACTGTGGATGCATTCTGGGGTGTGAGAATCAAACACCATAACAACCATCGAGCATACTCTTTTGTTGTCAATTCTGCTGCTTTTCTGACCAGTTGTTTCTAGAGACGGAGGGGCTGAACCACTTGCTAGCATGGTACTAAAGACAATAATCTCCTCATTACATCTTTTGGCAGATCATAGCCTGGGACCCTGCCCACTACTATATTTTTGTTTCGTCTAGGGGTGCATTGGAACCAACATCTGCTATTGATCTAGAAAGCTGCAAAAGGAGATGTTGCCTCAAGAGAGACACCTATATCTGCAGGCGTGGAGGTTGAAATGGCTTCACATTTCAACTCGTGAATATTTTTTATGATACTGGCTGCAAAACACTGATTAGAGAGAGTATCATTTCTACTATGAAGGGTCTGAACATGAAAATTAGTAGGATCAGGAAAAAAATCCCTTCCTTGTGGTTAGAGGTAGCCTTCCAAGTTAACTTCTGAGGTTGATTATCAATTGCTGTACATATCTGACCGGAGATTGGTTCTTCTATAACATCTTTTCCTAAAAGCCTTTTAGTTGCAACCTCTAGAGCTTTTGAAATTAAAGTAGAGCCAATAGAGTGTAGACCTAAAGGTATGAATATGTGTGACTTTGAATGACCATTAAATGCAGTCAGTCGGACGAAACCCCCAAAATCATTGTGTCCACACAAGAACGACAACGAGTACTAGCAAGCAGGTATAAGATTATTCAGTAGCAAGCACGCACAAACATCTCTTGCATGAATATTATTTGTATTAAAATTATGTTTAAATGTGTATCATTCGAGACAACATAGGGTAGAAAGAACTTTGGATAATAGAAAACTAAATTGACAACACATTAAGCTCAATGTAAAAAGATTTGGACAAAAAAGGTTAACTATAATGAGGGGTACCAAACCCTCAACACCATTCTTAGAGCATGAACTAAACATAAAACATTTTGGGAATACAGTATGTAAATGATGTTGCATATGAAATATAATAGACTACCATTTTGAGATTGTTCAAGCAAATTCGAGCAATCATATGGTGGGCAATACCAATCCAGAAAACTTCCAAGCTCGTTTTGAGGTAATGAGGGCAGTCTACAAGATCACGATTCGCATATGAGTCTAAACTAATCTAGCACCTCATATGAAAACAAACATGAAAATATAGCCAGAATGAAACAAAATATCTCACCTGGTTGAACACGGCAATAAGACAGTTTTTTTTTTTTTGAAATGAAACTGAGAAGACTATGACCTGAAGAACAGAAACACATACTTCTCACCCACTGCACCAGAAGATATCAATAGAAGACCTACCACAACTCTTAACTAATCCTAATTTAAAACATTGAAGAAGAGGGCATCATAACAAATATAGTAATCAATGAGTGAGATGGATTTGGAAGAAACCTTGAGCCTTGAAAACCTTGGCAAACTGCTGAGGGAAACATCTTAATTACCTCACGTATTATTCTATTCAAAATTGGGCATCCGAGAATTGTCGTCGTCCCATCTTTGAACCTGTGTTGCGCTATGAACGATACAAAATTCACAATTCATCAGATTCAATCTTCTCCGATTCTCCGATGACCATGAGATTTACCATCCCGCGCGTTTGTTGTCCTGTTTTTTCGAAACCGTAAGAATGGCAAAATGTGATTTTGATAGAAATTAAAATTGTTTTGTTGTGATCTGATCTCTAATAAGAATATGTGATAAATAGAAAAAATATGTTGAGAACGATGTCTTAGCCAAACGATGCATATGGCATGGAGTGGCATTGTGGCAGGCAATTGCCTCGTTTATCCCCTTATAGTATGTTTGCTTCATAAATAGGAGTTAATCACCCTTAGCCATTAAGCATCCCATCTTTACAAAATAAAAAATGGTAATTTACATGTATAAGAGTAAAAGACATCACTTTTTCCTAAATAGGAGTACTCCTATTTACATTACCGTATAGTGCTACAAAATTACAAAAATATCTCATGAGCATTAAAAGAAAAACTTGCACTCATTTTTTCCTCCATCAAGTTCGACTATAATTTAGGAAATGAACATTGACATAGTAAAAACCCATCATCCCATTACTTATCTAATTTAAAATAAAATTAATTTTATAAAATTTATATAAGAACTAAAAATATTTGTTTTCATAATTTATGATCAAAATGTGTAAAATTTATCTTTAAAAGTTAAACTGTAAAAACATTTAAGATGAAGGAAGTATATGATAATTTTTGGGATTTCATGAGAAGACAATATCTTAGGCATTAATTTTTTGTAATATGCTGTAATATGCAATTAGGCAAGGGTAAATATATTTGCTCGCTGATGATGTTCACAAAAAGTCATTTTGCATATGAATTTAAGATGAAAATACAAAGAGCGTATGTAAACATTGCATCCGAAGATATTAAGCTATACACATACTAAAATAATCTAAGAGAATATTGTTTTAAAACATTATTGCCTTGAAACATCACATATGGCATTTTGATGTATATAATAAGGTCATTCCCACAAGACGTTTTGATGTATAATATGTTGTAATATGCAACTAGGCAAGGGTAAACATATTTCATAGCTATTGAAGTTCACAAAATAAAATCATTATGCATATAAATTTAAGGGAAAAATATAGAGAGAACATGTGTAAGCATTGTGTATGAGGACATTAAGCAATATACAAACATATTAAAATAATCTAAGACATTGTTACCTTAAGACATTATTGCCTTAAAATACTAGGCAAGGGTAAACATATTTCATAGCTACTGAATTTCACAAAATAAATCCATTATGCATATGAATTTAAGGGGAAAATATAGAGAACATGTGTAAACATTGCATATGAGGACATTAAGCAATATACAATCATATTAAAATAATCTAAGACATTATTGCCTTAAGACATTATTGCCTTAAAATACTAGGCAAGGGTAAACATATTTCATAGCTACTGAATTTCACAAAATAAATCCATTATGCATATAAATTTAAGGGGAAAATATAGAGAACATGTGTAAACATTGCATATGAGGACATTAAGCAATATACAATCATATTAAAATAATCTTAAGACATTATTGCCTTAAGACATTATTACCTTAAAATAATCTAAGACATTATTGACTTAAAATAATCTAAGATATTATTGCCTTAGAATACTACTTCCTCCGTTCATGAGTATTTGTCCACTTTTCACTTTTTCAGTCAAAATTGGTAAATTTTGACATCAAATTAAATAAAAATTATATTAGATATTGATACAAAAATAATTTTATTAGATGTATTATATCAAATATTTTGAAAATATTATTTTATCTAATTAATATAAAATATGTATTTTCTTTAATTATAGGTCAAAAGTTGAAAATAGTTGACCGAAAAAAGTCAAAAGTGGACAAGTACTCAGGAACGGAGGTAGTAGTATATATAAAAATAACAAGATACTCCGTATATAAAATGGCCAAACATAATGTAAAACGGAAGATGGAAAATAATTCAGAAGAAGATAAATTCGGAAGCTTGATATAAAATAAATCCTATATAAAGAAAAAAACTGAAATAGTCCTATCTAGGGAAATGTGACATCTATTAGTCTTATACAGAACAATTTTTACAATAAAAAAGAATAAGTTCTTTAATACTCCGTAACAAAACTTTAACTCTGCAGTAGCTAATAGCAAACAAAATACAATATTAATCTCCCATTTGCATTCTAATTAAAACTAAATCCATTTACAAATTAAAAAAACAATCCTAAATTAACTATCGTCTCCGCCCCTACCATCATTGCACCCTCGCCGCCACTGTTGCATGTGACGTCGATGCCATCGCCACCCTATCATTGTCGCTCCACCGCCACACTCCCGATGCCATCGTCATTATGTGTTGCCCACTGCATCTCTACTGCATGCCACTGTCACTTGAATCTCTGCTGTTGGCTTACTCCACCCACACCGGGATGATGTGCCACCGAGGCAAAAATTCAACAATGTTGCCCTTTATTTTTCATCAACAACATCACCATTCTACCACCATCACACTTTGCACCATTAGAGACACCATCATCACACTCTCCACAGTCTCCGGCAATGCCACATTAATAACAATGAAGGTATAATCCCAAACATGGCCACATATAATATCACATATGGTAATACATAATGCCACATATTACCAGATAATAATCACATGTGGTAATGCACGATGCCACAGATTACCATATATAATGTCACTATTGCAAATTCAAAATGTCAAACAAATGAATAATGTCAAACTCAACCACTGACCTGCAATAATACTCCTGGTGACCATCATCCATCTCACGACTACCGTTATGGCAACCGGATGACCAACCGTCATTGACAACGGCAGAAGGGGAATCAGCAGAACCAGTGGCGGTGGAGACCAAAATTCTCCCCAAATCCTTGTAATCAATAGCAAAACCAATCAATTTTGGATCTAGAACAATCCACATACTTTACTTAGTTGAGGAAATCTCAATTACTTTAACTGGACTGTTCGGATCCCAACTTTTGCTTTCGGGGAGTGGGAATTCCGATCTCGACACTGGCCGGCATCGGATCTGATGCTTTGATCCCGCCGGCGAGCCTAGGCGAGCAACATGCAGAGCTTGTTGAAAAGAGTTTCAGCAAAAGGGGAATCAACCGAATGGACGATTTTCTTCCCTTTCAGGATTGAGTAGGGCACATGGGAATATGCACGCTTTTTTCCTATTTAATTACTCCTATTTAGAAGAGTTTAAATTTAAGCGCCTACTTTGAGGATATAACATATGTTTTACTCCTATTTGAGGGGTTTTCTTAAATTTGAAAGAAAACAAAACAAAATAGTTTTCTCACATTTTCCCTACTAAAATGCAGGGATTTGATTTTTCTTCCTGTTAGTGATCTCATTTTCTTTTCCTTTCACTTTTATTTTCTTTTGCTCTCTAACCAAACAAAAAAGGTTTTCCTTCTCATTTTTTTCTTTTCCCTCTCAGATTCTTAGAGCCAAATATAATAATATTTGGAATCGGGACAAAACGAAACATGTTTGGATCATCTTGTTTTATTATTGTCTAAAATTACATGTAAAAATATAAAATACGTAAGAAGAAGGTAACTTACTTTAAATTACAGAGTAACAAAAAGAAATGAAATATCTACTTAGAATATCTTAGAAAAAGCAAAAAAACAATAAGATAAAATTAAAAAAAAAGATACATGGCTTGGGATGTGTACTCTTGCAAGATGGCAAGGTCGTGCCATACGCATCAAGACAATTGAAGCCCCATGAGTGTAACTACCCCACTAATGACCTCAAATTAGCAATAGTTGTATTTGCTCTGAAGATATGGCGTCACTAACTCTTTGGAGAAACGACATATATTCACATAGACCACAAAATTCTAAAATACCAGTTGACTCAGAAAGAGTTAAACATGAGGCAAAGAAGATGGCAGGTGTAACGCCACAACCCGAATACTCAAAATTATTCGAATATTCGACTCGCAGTGTTAACGGGTCTAACTTTTGAAATCGGAAAATGGAGCATTACACAAAACTTATTTATTTATTAAACAAGTCAGAGTAATATGTTACATGCGGAAACAATAAAACTTGAAAGTATTAAAACATTATTAAATTGTCATAACATGACTTATTTAAATATTGATAATATCATTATGACCCACTCGTCCAATGCCCTCCACATCAGTACTGTCCTCCGGCAAGGTTGTCATTTCCTGACTGTGTACCTAAAAAAAATGAGCCAACCCGATCAGCAAAAGCTGAGTGGTACCAGTTATAACAGTAGGTACAAAATATAATAACGTGAATATAAACTTTTCTAAAAATTCTTAGAGTAATAAATTAAACACATTTGTTTTATAAAACTGTAGTATCAAAAAAAATCAACTTTTCTTTTGCTCTTTGTTTAACTAGGACTTCAAGTACTTCGGGTACGAGACGAGTCCGTTATCTCTTTCTGGGCCTTCAAGTACTTTGGGTACAAGACGAGTCCATTATCTTTTTCTGGGACTTCAAGTACTTTGGGTACAAGACAAGTCCTTTATTACGGGCTCGTACGTACGGCAATGGAGGGGTACTGGTTAACCCTTTGGAACTTGTGAACTGTAGTTCATATATCAGAAATCATTATTAATTCTGTTTTGGGGAAATATATTTTTGAATGCATCATCTCATGTAACTCAATATTATTTTTAAAACAAAACTATACCTTAGCATATGTATTAGGCATATACGTATATATACATATATATATATATATATATATATATATATATATATATTGTTTATTTACTTATTATTTATTTGCTTTTTAGAAGTCAAAACCCTTTTTACTTAAAATATACTAGTAAGTATGTGTATATATATATATATAATACAAATATTTTTATTTCTTAGGCATAGAATCATTATGCGATCATACACCTATAAACTTAAATTTGAAAAGGGCATTTTGAAGGAAGCTTGGGCTCTGGTTCGGATCAAAAGAACTCTCCGACGATGTTGCCGGCGACTTTTCCAGCAAACTTGGTCCCCAAACTTTAATCATGGCTTACTTCAAAACCTTCCACTTTATTTACTTAAAACTTGTTTAAAACCCTCTTAGAATAAAAAAACAGTTTGGACGTATAAAAGGCGAAGAACCTCGTCGCTGGAGGTTGGCTGGATTCCGGTCATCTTCCTCGACGAGATACCTTCGTTTTATCATCATATACTTTTTTTTTCTTCCTATTTTCATAAAAATACTTGTTATCAATCATAAAGGAACAATTTGGACGTAGGAATTTATAGAAATTGTTGCCGCCAAAGAGACCCATTTTCTGGTCATCTTCTCCGTCGGACCGTCGATGGTATTCGTTTAAAACTCTGTTTTTTTCGTCTAATACTTATAATGACCTTTATATATTCTTTTAGTAATTTATTTAGAGTGTTTTGGACGTAAAACATGTCGAAGATACCATGCCGCTATTTATCCCGAACTCCGGCGACGGAAGTTTTAAAAACTGCATATAAACTTTTATAGTATATATTAACGTATTATATAATGTCTCTAAAGTTATACGGGCGGCGGTACTCACCTTAGAACGGGAAGTCTCGGCTTTAGAACGGCTAATGGCGAATTCCGGTAGGGTTGGGATTTCCGGCCGTTATTCTACCCCTTTTGTTTGATCTCTCTCTTTCTTTTATTGTTTTCCTTCTTTCTTGAAGTACAAGAGTATTATTATTATTTTCTTTCTTTCGTATTGCTCAGCCTTACCCCTACCTCTCTATTTATACTATTTACTACATGTATAAGCCTTAGTTGTTAAGATTTGAAGGTGAAATAATGATGAACAGTAACTATAGTTGTGTGGCTTGGTTAGAGTTGGATTAGTGTCAACCCTAGTATAGCCTAGGGCTATAGTCGGTTAACTCAATAGGATAGGATAAGCTTCAATTTAACTATTCCATAATTAATTTACTTTATCTCAATCTTTTTTTGTTTGGATTTACAAAATATTCATTGATATTTTCGAAATTACTATGTCCACTTACATTAGTTGACGTAAATTTTAAATTTACTATTTTGAATTTTCTTTAAATGTCTAAAGTGGTACAATTATCAATTATTTAATTTGTTTTATCCATCGAAACATCTAGACTAGTTTTCGGGGCGTTACAATTCTCCCCTACTTAAGAAATTTCGTCCTCGAAATTTTACCTTATTAGGTAGTAGGAAAAAGTTGCGGGTACTGTATGCGCATTGATTCCTCCGTTTCCCAAGTAGCTTCTTCGGTACTGTGATTTCGCCATAGGATCTTGACCAACGGTACCGTCTTGTTTCTAAGCACTTTAATTTCTCGGGCTAGAATCTGTACTGGCTCCTCTTCATATGATAGCTTATCATCCAATTCTACCGCGCCTGACTGGATTATATGAGTGGGGTCCGACCGATATCGTCTGAGCATAGATACGTGGAATACATTATGGATTCTGCTCAACTAGCCGGTATGCTACTGGTCCTACACGTTCGGTAACTTCATAGGGGCCAATAAATCTGGGTGACAGTTTTCCCTTCTTTCCGAAACGTAGCACCTTTTTCCATGGTGATACTCGCAAAAATACTTTATCACCCACATTGTATTCAATATCTCTTCTTTTTAAGTCTGCATAAGATCTTTGTTGGTCTGACGCGATTTGTAATCGTTCTTTGATAAATTTTACCTTTTCTTCTGCATCTCTTACAAGATCAGGTCCCACAAGTTTGTTCTCACTGAGTTCCGTCCAACATAGAGGTGTTCTGCACTTCCTTCCATAAAGAGCTTCTTAAGGAGCCATCTGTATACTTGCCTGGTAACTGTTATTGTATGTGAATTCCATGAGTGGTAAGTATCTCTCCCAACTCCCTTCTAACTCTAGAACACAGCTTCTCATCATATCTTCAAGTATCTGGATAATTCTTTCAAACTGTCCATCTGTTTGTGGATGAAAAGCCGTACTAAAGTGTAGCTTCGTTCCGAGCGCTTGTTGTAAGCTTTTCCAAAATTGAGATGTGAATCGAGGATCTCTATCCGAGATGATAGATACGGGGACACCATGTAACCTCACAATCTCTTGGGTGTACAATTCTGCCAGCCTCTTAAGTGTGAAATCTCGTCTTATTGGTAGAAAGTGAGTTGACTTGGTTAGTCGATCTACTATCACCCATACTGCGTCGTTCTTCTTTGGTGTGAGTGGTAAACCAGTCACAAAATCCATTGTGATTCGGTCCCACTTCCATTCCGGTATTGTCATGGGTTGTAGTAATCCTGTCAGGACTTGATGTTCCTCTTTCACTTGTTGACAAGTCAGACATCGGGATGTGAATTCAGTGATCTCTTTCTTCATTGATGGCCACCAGAATTTGACTCGTAGATCTTGAAACATTTTGTTGCTACCGGGATGCATCGCATATCCTGCCTCGTGAGCTTCTTGAAGGATTCGCTCTTTCACCTCGCCTGTTGGTACTACTAACCGCCCTCTAAAATATAGTATCTTCTCATTCGTGTAGAAATCTTTCCTCTCTCCTTGGTGGACTAGTCTGATTGTTTGTTGACAAAAATCATCCCCTTCTTGTGCCTTCTGTATCTCGCCTTCCAAGGTTGGTCGAAGTCGGAGTTCTGCTATTGACTTTCGACTTAGGGCATCAGCGACAACATTTGCTTTCCCTAGATGATAATCGATATAACAATCGTAATCCTTGATAAGTTCTAGCCATCTTCTCTGACGTATATTCAGTTCCTTCTGCGTGAGTAGATACTTCAAACTCTTGTGATCTGTGAAGATATACGACCTTTCCCCGTAAAGATAATGTCTCCATATCTTCAAGGCAAAAACCACAGCTGCTAACTCAAGGTCATGAGTAGGATAGTTTGTCTCATGAGTCTTGAGTTGTCTAGAAGCATAGGCTATCACATGTCCTTCTTGCATAAGAACACACCCCAGCCCATTAAGTGAAGCGTCACTGTAGATAGTATAATCTTTTCCGGGGACAGGTTGAGTTAACACTGGTGCGTTCGTCAGATATTCCTTTAATTGTTCAAAACTCTTTTGACACGCAGGCGTCCACACAAATTTCTCACTCTTTCGCAGCAACTTATGGAGCGGTGATGCAACGATGGAAAATCCTTTCACAAATCTTCGATAATATCCAGCCAATCCCAAAAAGCTTCTGATTTCTCGCACATTCCTTGGTGGCTTCCATTCAAGAATAGCTGATATTTTTGTAGGGTCAACCCTGACTCCTTCGGCTGAAATGACGTGGCCTAAGAAGGTAACTTCGTTAAGCCAAAACTCGCATTTTGAGAATTTTGCATATAGGTGGTTCTTTCTTAGTATGTCGAGTACTACCTCCAGGTGTTGGCCATGATCTGCTTCGTTCTTCGAATATACCAGGATATCGTCAATAAACACTACTACGAACTGGTCAAGGTACGGTCGAAACACGTTGTTCATAAGATCCATGAACACTGCAGGTGCATTTGTTAATCCGAATGGCATGACTGTAAATTCGTAGTGTCCATACCGAGTACGGAATGCAGTCTTTGGTATGTCTTCTCTCTTTACTGGAATTTGATGATATCCAGATTGCAAGTCGATTTTTGAAAAGACCGTAGCTCCTTTCAATTGATCGAATAGATCTTCGATTCGAGGCAAAGGATACCGATTTTTCACTGTCATCTTGTTCAGTTGACGATAGTCAATACAGAGGCGCAATGACCCATCCTTCTTCCGTACAAAAAGTACCGGAGCTCCCCAAGGTGAAATACTAGGTCGTATAAATCCCTTGTCAAGAAGTTCTTGTAATTGTGCCTTGAGTTCTTTCAACTCTACAGGTGCCATCCTGTAGGGACTTATAGATATTGGCTCAGTCCCGGGTACTAGATCGATTGAGAACTCAACTTCTCTATTAGGAGGTAATCCTGGAAGTTCTTCGGGGAATACTTCTGGAAATTTGCACACAGTAGGGATTTCTTCAAGCTTCGGGTCTCCTTTCCATACATCTCGCACATTACAAAGGAACGCTTCACATTTCTTTCGCATCAGACGTTTCGCTTGCATCATTGATAGAAATTCAAGGGGTTTAGGAAATGATTCTCCTGTGATAACAACCTTTTTTCTCTTGTCAGAACCAAGCTGTACAATCTTTGCGGCACAGTCTACCACTGCATCATGTTTAGACAACCAATCCATTCTGAGGATTACATCAAACTCTTTATATGGAAGTTCGATAAGATCAGCCGCGAATTTCGTTTCCTGTGCGGTTAATGGGCATCCTCGATACACAAAATTTAAATCCATACTATGTCCCAATGGATTAGATACTAACATGGGATATTCAAGTGGTGTTTTTGAAGTATCTTTTAAACATGGTAGTTTCACACAGATATAAGAGTGCGTGGAGCCAGGGTCAATCAAAGCGGTTATGTCAGTATCATACAAAGTAAACGTACCAATAATGACTTCATTTGAAGGTCTGTCCTCTCGTGCCCTCATGGCATACGTCCGTGCAGAAGCTGTCCTCGATCCTTGATTGATAGATGGTGGCATTTTCTGTTTCCCTCTCTCTTGGTTTGTTTGATTAATCGATGCCACAGAGGCATTTGGTGCTGAGGTTGATGGGTTGGTGGGACAGTTCCGCTTAAAGTGACCCTTTTGCCCGCATCCCAGACATGCTCCTGTTGCGTACCAACATTCTCCTGGATGACGGCGGCTACAGTGAGGACAAAGGGGTGCATCGCTGGACGGAGCGTTAGACACTGTTTTCATTTTCTTGTTTGGTGGGGAATTTTGGTTTCCTGGAAAGTATCTTTTCCCGGATGATGTTGGATGTGGAAACGATCGAGATGATCCTCCAAAAGTTGTTTTCTTTTCTGAAGTTTTCCTGGCTTCAATTCTTTCTTCAGCTCGTTCTATCTTTGCATAAACTGCATTGAAGGTGGTATAATCAACTGCTGCCACTGCTAGTCCCAGATCATGGTCTAGGCCTTCAACAAATTTTTCACACCTTCTCATGGTGTTGTTCACTAAGTCTGTTGCATATTCTGCCAGCTTATCATACTCCTGGCGGTACTCGATCAAAGGTCGACCATTTTGCTTCAATTCTGTAAATTGTTTACGCTTTGCTTCCCGGTACCTGTCCGGAACATATTCTTCTTTAAAAGCAGTTTCAAAGAAGTCCCATGTGATATGTTCAGGGGTTGCGGGATCTCTTTTAATCCTTTTCCACCAGTCATACGCGGCGTCTTGTAGCAGTGCGACGGCCAACTGTGGTTTGTCGTCTTCCGGAACTTTTAGAGTTTTTAAAGCTCTTTTTGTCCGTACCAACCAGTACTCAGCTTTGGCTGGTCTTCCGATATCGTTAGCTAAGAACTCTTCGGCTCCGTTTCTTTTCAGCTTCTCCACCGTATACTACGGTGACGCCATGTGTTGGACTGCTGCCAAAATTTGGGGAATGGTTGGGACTTTTTGATTCGTCCCTTCTTCACGCGTGATATTTTCATTATGAACGGAGTGAGTACTCATCTAAAAAGTACAACATTAGTATTAGTAATATGTCACATACCACGTTTTATTTAGCATTTTATATATTACATTATTATAGCATTATTAGTAGTTATATCATATTATTATATATTACAAGCAGACTTTCTTCCTTAGTTCTTATTTTATATCCTCTACTTCACTCGAAGACATCCTCTTGGCCATTTCTGCTTTGATGTCCCCTCCATGAAAGGGTCCGTATCCCTTTTTCGTTTCCCAAGGTAAGTGTAAAATTCTATTTCCGAGATTTCCTCCAGATCCGAATCTGGGCGTGATGGGGAATAACCCCACACCAGCCTAGGGCTGACATCAGCATAAATTTCCAAAGGATCGGGCTTGGATGTTTCTGCCCAGCCCTGCGCTCCGCTCGTCCTTCCTGCCCGGCTCTGCGCTCCGCTCGTCCTTCCTGCCCGGCTCTGCGCTCCGCTCGTCCTTCCTGCTCGGCCGACCAAGCCGAGTCCGAACCCCACGACAATGACATGCGGAAAGCGACGTTCAACGGAGGCTTGAGGAAAGCGATAGGATGAAAGGGACAAGACGTGCGGAAAACGACGTTCAACGAAGACTTGGTGAAAGCGATAGGATGAAAGGGACAAGACCTAAGGACAGGTGACGTTTGCTAAACGACGGGCCTCGATCAAAGGGCTTTGCCCCTATAAAAGGGGTGGCACCCCTCATTGTAATGGACCCGAATTTGAAATCAATATACTCCTACTTTGCATTCTCTCTCGCTAAAACTTATATTATTTCATACTCTCGGTGGTTTATAGCCATCAAGTTGGTGCTCTCATTGAGAGGAGAGGAACATACTCGTAGGTTAACTCCCGAACGCGAGAATGGTGCAAACAAGGAGCAACGTCCCCACCACCAGCCACGTAGTTGGCGAGGAGAACGCACCGGGCAGCGGCAACGGTACGGGAGGTATCGGCTCAACTCCGGACGCGGTCCAGGCGCTGTTCGGCTTGGGGGTGACCGCGGAGCAGCTCCAGGCGGCCGTTGCGGCACTTTCCGCCTTGGGTGGAAACGTGCCCGGCGCCGGGGCTGGCAAAGCTCCGCTCGGCTCCCACGCCGAACACGCTGCCACTTCCCAACATTAGGGGAAGAAGACCCGGAGGAGCAGAAGGAGGCCCGGCAAGACCTTGGCGATCGAGGAGGTGGTTGTGGAGGACGTCCCGGAGGAGGAGGATGATGAGTCCAGTGAGTGCCGAGTGTCGGCCTTCAAACGCTTAGGAGGTGAAGAGACCCGGGCGTCGACCTTCGACAGGCTCGACCACGGACCGGGAGGTCACCCGGGCGACCTCCGCCGACAAATAACCAAAGGTAGGCGGAGGCATGCTGAGGAGTCCGCGACCTCGGATGCACGCTCGGCGAGGCCCGAGCGGAGCGGAGAAAGACGGGACGAGCGCACCCAGCGTCGCCATAGTCCAACCAGAACAGAGAAGACAAGGCCTCTGACCAAGGGGTATCTCGGCTCGCTCGTGAGATTGCCGAGCTCAAGCGCCGAGTGGAGACCAGTGCTCCCTACAGCCAGCCCATCTTGCGGACGGTAACCCCGTTCACTCCGAGGGTTATGTCGGTTCCGCTGCCGGCAAACTTCCGGCCCTGGCAGATCAAGGCCTATAACGGAATGACGGACCCCCAAGATCATTTGTCTAAGTTCTATGCTTCTATGGAAGCGGCGGCAGCCCCGGACGAGGTCAAGTGCCGATGCTTCCTCGCGACGCTAGAGGGCTCCGCGTGCGATTGGTTCAACCGGCTCCCGAAGGGAACTATTGACGATTGGGATACGCTAGCGGAGAAGTTCTTGACGCATTTCGCAGCCAACCGGAGGCAGAGGCTACCTTACTCCCACCTGCTCAACATTTGCATCCGCAAAGGAGAGAAGATCCGCGACATCATAACCCGGTGGGAGAAGGAAGCAAGAGACGTGCACGGGGCGGATGACCAAGCATTGGTGGCCATGTTCCAAGCAGCCCTTCCCCGCGGTGAGGTAAGGAAGGAGCTCCGCAAGAATCCTCCCCCCACGTACCAAGAAACCTTGGCGCGCGCTAAGTTCTTGGCCTCGGAGGAATTCGATGATGCCCCTGAATCCGAGGCCGCGCCGACCAAGCGAGCTCCCGCAGATTCAGAGGAGATAGCGAAGAAGAGGAAGAAGAAGAAAGACCACACTGTGGGCCCGAGGACGCCCTCGGCGCGTGTGTACTCCGTGGGTGCGCCCGCGGGGATGGGTCGAGAGCTGGCCCTCTCCCCGCTCCCGCACGTGGAGACCTATGCGGTGTCCAGCGGCGCCAAGTACTGCGAGTATCACCGCAACAACACTCACAACACTAAGGAATGCTTCTCTCTTCAGAAGGAGATGCAGCAACTCATCGCCCGAGGGCCGGCTCCGCGAGCCGATGGAGCCGCCCCTTCCCGAGGTCCACCGGAAGGGAGAACGTGGAGGAAGCCGACCGAGTCGGTCGCGGTGGCCACGCAAGCGAGGAACCCAGAGAAGAGGCACATTGGGCGAGAGTGTGATGATCTAGACGAGGACGAAGCCCAAGGATATCCGGTGGGGTTCATCCATGGAGGAAATATCGGCGGGGACTCCGCCGCTCAAAGAAAGAGGTGGAAGCACATGGCCTTCGTCGCCAAGGTCCAACAGGCGCCGACGCCCAAGCTCGGAAGACGAGAGAAAATCCAATTCACGGAGAAGGATCTTCCGGACACGCCGAGCCCCCACCGGGACGCCTTAGTCGTGAAGATGGAGATCAACAACGCCATAGTGCACCGCACCTTGGTGGACACGGGAAGCTCGGTCAACATAATGTATGAGAAGACCTTTCAAGACCTCGGCTTGGACTGCAAAGATTTAAGGCCCGTGCGCACTCCTCTCTCCGGGTTCACGGGGGACTCCATCGAGGCCGAAGGAGTCGTCACCGTGCCCGTGATAGTAGGGGATGGTGCGCACAAGGCCAGGTTGAAGATGGAGTTCATGGTTGTGAGCATCAGCTGCGCGCACAACATGATCCTAGGACGGCCCGGCCTTGAGGACTTGGAATGTGTGATCTCCCCATACTACTTGTGCGTGAAGTTCCCCACTCCTTCGGGAATCGGGGTGGCGAGGGGAGACCAAAGGTTAGCTCGGCCATGCTATGTCCGAATCACAAAGAAGTTGCCAAGGGATGAGACATTGGTCGTGCACGCACTAGAAGAAATGCGGAAGCTGGAAGCACGGCCGAAGGCCGAGCCCGCTGAGGAGGTCGAGGAAGTGCCGCTCGACCCTCGAGCACCCGAGCGGAAGGTGAAGGTCGGGGTGAGCCTAACCGGGAGCCAGCGGAAGCGCTTAGTGGACGTGCTCTCCGCCTACCGCGTGATCTTTGTATGGGGACCCGGGGATATGCCGGGGTAGACCCCAAGGTCATATGTCACCGCTTGGCAGTCAACCCGGAGGCTAGGCTGGTGAAGCAGAAGAAGCGGTTCCTCTCATCCGAGCGGAGGGAGTTTGTTTCCAAGGAGGTGGCCACCCTCTAGAGCATTGGGCGTATCAGAGAGGTTAAGTACCCGGAGTGGATGGCCAACGTGGTGCTGGCACCCAAGGGAAACACTTGGAGGATGTGCGTGGACTACACCGATCTAAATAAGGCCTGCTCTATGGATCCGTTCCCACTCCCGAACATCGACCAGCTTGTGGACGAAACGGCGGGCTGCGAGCTCGTGAGTTTCATGGACGCCTTCAGCGGGTACCACCAAATCCGGATGCACCCCGAGGACGAAGAGAAGACATCTTTCACTACCCCTGGCGGAGTATATTGTTATAAGGTGATGCCTTTCGGGCTTAAGAACGCCGGGGCGACCTACGCTAGGATGGTGAGCACGCTCTTTGCACCCGCCCTCGGGAAGAGCATGGAAGCGTACGTCGATGACATGATTGTGAAGAGCAAGCAAGCGGCCACCCATGCGGAAGACTTAGAAGGAGTTTTCAAGATTATGGAGAAGTATAACCTTCGGTTGAACCCGAAGAAGTGCACGTTCGGAGTTCAGGGTGGCAAATTCTTGGGACATATGGTGAGCAGGCGTGGTATTGAGCCCAACCCCGAGAAGGTGCGCGCCATCCTTGACTGGAAAGTTGGCTGCGCTCAGCCGCTTCCTTTCCAAGGTGGCGGACCGAGCCGCTCCGTTCTTCCAAGCGGTGAAGAAGTCCCGAGGGTTCGTGTGGACGGAAGAATGCCAACAATCCTTTGAATCTCTCAAGTCCTACCTCCTCTCTCCTCCGGTTCTCGCGAAACCCGAAGCGGGGGAGACCTTGTACTTATACTTGGGAGTTTCACCCAAAGCTTTGAGCTCGGTCCTAGTCCGAGACGAGGGTGGAGCTCAGCACCCGGTGTATTATACGGCGAAGACGCTGAGGGGTGCCGAGCTCAGATACTCAGTAGCCGAAAAGACAGTCCTCGCCGTGGTTTCAACCGTGCAGCGTCTAACACCCTACTTCCAAGCTCACCCGGTTCAAGTGCTCTCCCAACAGCCCATTGGCGCGCTGCTCAGGAGCCCGAACGTGGCCTCGCGCATGTCCAAGTGGGCGGTGTTCCTTGGAGCTTTCCAGATCGAATCCAAGCCAAGGCCAGTGATCAAGGGCCAAGCGCTAGCTGATTTCGTGGTGGAGTGCACCGCTCGGGAAGAGCCGAGCCCGGAAGAGCGGGAAGCCGAGGACTGGTGGATAGTTTTTACCGACGGCTCCTCCGCTGCCAAAAACTCGGGGGGTGGAGTGGTAGTCATCGCTCCTGAAGGCTTCAGAGCATACTACTCAATTCGATTCGGTTTCAAGGCATCAAACAATGAAGCGGAATATGAAGCGCTCCTGTGCGGACTACGCCTAGCAGCCGGGATGAACGTAACAAAGCTAAGGATAAAGTGTGATTCAAAGCTGGTGGTTGACCACGTCTCGGGAGAGTTTGAGGNTTCATATCTTATTCATCCCTGAAAAAGGGGAGAGTACATGGCGCAAAAATTCATATCTTATTCATCCCTGAAAAAGGGGAGAGTACATGGCAAAGGCACCAAGGCCAAGGCGTTTGGTCGGAGCATCCCGCCGAGAAGGCGAGCCCGCGCTCGTCCTCGGTTGGGCGACGAGGCGAGGCTAACACGCCTAGGCGGGCTAAACATGGGCGTGGCCCCGTATGGGCAAGCACAAGCACCCCGGCAACGGCCGTTCGGCCTCCAAAACAATCGCGGAAATACAATCAAAAGATGAAGCAAAACGATAAAGGCATCACAAACCACGAAGAGTCAAGGGTGATAGTTGCGCGGTGCAAAATACATGGTTCGAACGCAGAAACAAGCGCAGGAACATTACATCAAAGAAAAGAAAAACTAAGGGTGGAGTTCATCGGTGGGCCCAGCTGCGTTCAGTTACCGGCGGTGTCCTCGCCCCCACCATTGGCGTCCTCGTCCTCGGAGTAGTAGATGGATGAGTCAAACTCCTCAGGGTCCTCGCATGGCTTCGGGAGTTCCTTCCCCTTTCGGATCCGCTCGAGCAAAACCTCTTGAGCCCGTTGCAGCCCCAGGGAATAGTTGGCTTGCCCTTCTTTGAGAAGGAGACGCTGGCCGGCCGGAGTTTGAGCCGCCTCCTCGAACGCAGGGGAGGTCTGAAAGGCCTCAATTACATGCTCGGCTTCCTCATCAAGATGGCGCGCCTTCTCCTCAGCAGCAATGCGGGCCAGCTCCGCAACTCGAGCCCGCTCCTCCGCGTCAGCGAGCTTCCCCTCGAGGCCAGCCATGTGCTCCTGCAGCCTCCGAAGCTCCTCTTCGCCCTTGGCCTTCTCCGCCACATACCACTCGAAGCGCTCCACCAGCTCTGGGGCGCGCATGGCCACCTACAACAGCAGTGAAATTCCGGCAAAATTTGTTAGAATCCATCTAAGTGTCGGGCAGAAACGCACGCCATACCTGAGCAAAGAATGCTTACCGAGCCCAACTCGAGCAAGAGAGTGGAGGCGAGGTCCTGCGTGGCGGCCGAACTTATCTCCATTCGGTCTGGCGGAGGGATGAAGCTCTGCAGAAAACGGCGAGGCTCATAGTCCCCATGCAAGAACGAAGGTTTGAGGGGGAACGCCACCTTCACGAAGGCCGGGTTCCCGCAGTCCACCGCGCGAGGGTGGAGACCTCGCCCCGCTCAGCGAAGCCTCTTCCGCCGAGGAGCTCACCTCCTTGCGCTTCTTACTCGCCCGGGCATGCTCGGCAGACGGTGCGGGAGTTGGGAGCGGAGGCCGTTCTTGGCTGGACTCCGTGCGCGCCTTAGACTTGAACAGCTTCTTCTGATCGGCCGCGGAAATCATGATTTCACCTACAAGAAAAGTAAGAGATAAGTTCGAATCTCCTGAACAAATCGCGAGCGGAGCATAAATCCGCCAAATAATTGAACAAAGGAAACCTGAGGGCCCCTCCTCAAGCTGGCTCTAGACGACCCTGTGCTTGGGCTCGTCCTCATCATGGAAGACGAACCCGAACTTGGCAAGAGCTTCGTCATTCACTAAGACCCCGGGCTCGTAATGGCCACCCGAACACAACTTATCCGTATCAGCAATAGCCTTGGAAGAGGCAAAGGGTTTGGATCGTCTACGAAAAGAGCTGAGGGGAGTGTCTCGGAAGGGGGAGGCTGACCCCACGGAGACGAAGACAAACTTGGACTTCCAAGTCCTGTTGGACTCCTTCTTGGTTTTAAAAAGTCTCTCTTGCCGCTGGCAGAGGGCGGCAAAAGAACCCCCATCCGACCTGGAAGACTTAGCCACTCGGAACAGGGTCAGTAGGCGCTCAAGGTCGGCACGCACGCCCATCTCCCGACAGCGGATCAAGAACCCCGCCAAGTACCGGTGCGAGTTTGGCACCAATTGACACGGGAGGAAGTCAAAGTACTTAAAGAAGTCGATGACCAAAGATTCGAGGGGGAAGCGGAAGCCGCTCTCAAGGGACTTGAGATGGATGGCAAAGTAGCCCGGAGGAGCGTCGAAGACCGACTCCTCCGGGGTAGGGCGACGAACGGTCTTGAGGGGGCCAGCGTAGCGCACCGCCTTGAGGAACTCGTCACTCGACAAGTCGCACTTGCACTCGAGGATGAGCGAGTCCACGAGCAATGTGCGCTTATGGAGGCGGGGCTCGGTTTCCCCGGGCACCTCTACGGCCGCGATTTCCTCAATGGATGGGGAACCCGGCTGCTCCGCTTGGCCGCCTTGGGGTACAGAACCCTGGCTGCCGAGCACGAGCCCGTGCTCGGCTTTGGACGTGCGAAGAGTGGAAGACTCGACAGACATGGAATGAGCAGAACAGAGGGACTGACCTCGAGTGTGTCGCCGAAGAGACGGTCGGAGAGCAGCGAACGGCCACGGAACGACAAGAGGACGGCAACCCTAATGTTTTCTCTATCTAGAATTTGTGAGAATGAAGAAAGCCTTGGGGGTTATTTATACTAAAATTGGGCCCGAATAGTGATGGGCCAAACAAGTACCACGGTTGGGCCGCCAATTGGGAGAAGCGAAGCGCCACAACTGTACGCGGGGAACTCCAAGCGTCACCACATGCCCGCCAAGCTGCGCGTGGGCCCACGAGCTGACCGACCACGGTGCTTTCTACTCTCACGCGCTCCACTGCTAGGTGCCATGGAACTCGGAGAGTGGGGGGCTTCTGATGGGGAATAACCCCACACCAGCTTAGGGCTGACATCAGCATAAATTTCCAAAGGATCGGGCTTGGATGTTTCTACCCAGCCCTGCGCTCCGCTCATCCTTCCTGCCCGGCTCTGCGCTCCGCTCGTCCTTCCTGCTCGGCCGACCAAGCCGAGCCTGAACCCCACGACAATGACATGCGGAAAGCGACGTTCAACGGAGGCTTGAGGAAAGCGATAGGATGAAAGGGACAAGACGTGCCGAAAACGACGTTCAACGAAGACTTGGTGAAAGCGATAGGATGAAAGGGACAAGACCTAAGGACAGGTGACGTCTGCTAAACGACGGGCCTCGATCAGAGGGCTTTGACTTAGTATATTGTACCCCCTATAAAAGGGGTGGCACCCCTCATTGTAATGGACCCGAATTTGAAATCAATATACTCCTACTTTGCATTCTCTCTCTCTAAAACTTATATTATTTCATACTCTCGGTGGTTTATAGCCATCAGGGCGGTTCACTGATGGTTCCTCTGTTGGTAATGGTTCCGGTACTGGAACCTCCAGTTCCCTGAGTGGTTCTAGAGGTGGGACCCACTGAATCCCATGCCTTCTCAAATGTTCGCGTTGATCCCATTCGTAGGCGCGTTCCCACATCTTCCACACTCTTTCTTCGTGGTAAGTTGCCCAGTAGGAATCTCCCACGAGGTACTTTGTTTCTGGTTTTGTTTCTGTTTTTGGCATCTCGATGTCGTTTGACCCAACACTCGAGTCAATCAAGTCGATATCCATTATGTTTTCCATCCCTTATGTATTCAATTAAACATTAGTGTATTAAACCGAATAGTAATAAAATACGTGCCGGAATCAGTGCTGATGGCGGAGTGGACGAGATGGATAGTTCTTCCCTATTACTTATTAGGTCCGAAAATCATTTTAAAACCTTAATGCTCTGATACCAAATTGTAACGCCACAACCCGAATACTCAAAATTATTCGAATATTCGACTCGCAGTGTTAACGGGTCTAACTTTTGAAATCGGAAAATGGAGCATTACACAAAACTTATTTATTTATTAAACAAGTCAGAGTAATATGTTACATGCGGAAACAATAAAACTTGAAAGTATTAAAACATTATTAAATTGTCATAACATGAATTATTTAAATATTGATAATATCATTATGACCCACTCGTCCAATGCCCTCCACATCAGTACTGTCCTCCGGCAAGGTTGTCATTTCCTGACTGTGTACCTAAAAAAAATGAGCCAACCCGATCAGCAAAAGCTGAGTGGTACCAGTTATAACAGTAGGTACAAAATATAATAACGTGAATATAAACTTTTCTAAAAATTCTTAGAGTAATAAATTAAACACATTTGTTTTATAAAACTGTAGTATCAAAAAAAATCAACTTTTCTTTTGCTCTTTGTTTAACTAGGACTTCAAGTACTTCGGGTACGAGACGAGTCCGTTATCTTTTTCTAGGACTTCAAGTACTTTGGGTACAAGATGAGTCCATTATCTTTTTCTGGGACTTCAAGTACTTTGGGTACAAGACAAGTCCTTTATTACGGGCTCGTACGTACGGCAATGGAGGGGTACTGGTTAACCCTTAGGAACTTGTGAACTGTAGTTCATATATCAGAAATCATTATTAATTCTGTTTTGGGGAAATATATTTTTGAATGCATCATCTCATGTAACTCAATATTATTTTTAAAACAAAACTATACCTTAGCATATGTATTAGGCATATACGTATATATACATACATATATATATATATATATATATATATATATATATATATTGTTTATTTACTTATTATTTATTTGCTTTTTAGAAGTCAAAACCCTTTTTACTTAAAATATACTAGTAAGTACGTATATATATATATATATATATATATATATATATATATATATATATATATATATATATATATATATATATATATAAAATACAAATATTTTTATTTCTTAGGCATAGAATCATTATGCGATCATACACCTATAAACTTAAATTTGAAAAGGGCATTTTGAAGGAAGCTTGGGCTCTGGTTCGGATCAAAAGAACTCTCCGACGATGTTGCCGGCGACTTTTCCGGCAAACTTGGTCCCCAAACTTTAATCATGGTTTACTTCAAAACCTTCCACTTTATTTACTTAAAACTTGTTTAAAACCCTCTTAGAATAAAAAAACTGTTTGGACGTATAAAAGGCGAAGAACCTCGTCGCCGGAGGTTGGCCGGATTCCGGTCATCTTCCTCGACGAGATACCTTCGTTTTATCATCATATACTTTTTTTTTCTTCCTATTTTCATAAAAATACTTGTTATCAATCATAAAGGAACAATTTGGACGTAGGAATTTATAGAAATTGTTGCCACCAAAGAGACACATTTTCTGGTCATCTTCTCCGTCGGACCGTCGATGGTATTCGTTTAAAACTCTGTTTTTTCGTCTAATACTTATAATGACCTTTATATATTCTTTTAGTAATTGATTTAGAGTGTTTTGGACTTAAAACATGTCGAAGATACCATGCCGCTATTTATCCCGAACTCCGGCGACGGAAGTTTTAAAAACTGCATATTAACTTTTATAGTATATATTAACGTATTATATAATGTCTCTAAAGTTATACGGGCGGCGGTACTCACCTTNAATGGCGAATTCCGGTAGGGTTGGGATTTCCGGCCGTTATTCTACCCCTTTTGTTTGATCTCTCTCTTTCTTTTATTGTTTTCCTTCTTTCTTGAAGTACAAGAGTATTATTATTATTTTCTTTCTTTCGTATTGCTCAGCCTTACCCCTACCTCTCTATTTATACTATTTACTACATGTATAAGCCTTAGTTGTTAAGATTTGAAGGTGAAATAATGATGAACAGTAACTATAGTTGTGTGGCTTGGTTAGAGTTGGATTAGTGTCAACCCTAGTATAGCCTAGGGCTATAGTCGGTTAACTCAATAGGATAGGATAAGCTTCAATTTAACTATTCCATAATTAATTTACTTTATCTCAACCTTTTTTTTGTTTGGATTTACAAAATATTCATTGATATTTTCGAAATTACTATGTCCACTTACATTAGTTAACGTAAATTTTAAATTTAATATTTTGAATTTTCTTTAAATGTCTAAAGTGGTACAATTATCAATTATTTAATTTGTTTTATTCATCGAAACATCTAGACTAGTTTTCGGGGCGTTACAGCAGGAACTAATTAAAGATTATGACTGTTACATCGACTACCATCCTAGTAAAGCTAACGTAGTAGTTGATGCGTTAAGTTGAAAGATGGTAACCGAACTTCGAATTCAACAAACTCTCGAGAACAAAATCTATACCGCATAGAAACGTGATGAGTACTGTTTGAATACTAGTGAACTTGTCTCTAAGGGGGAGAGACGAGACTTCACTGTGAATGATGGAGTTTTATTCTATCGTGATCGTTTGATAGTTTCTAGTGGCGAAATGAGAGAACATTTAATGTGTGAATCTCACAAAACCTTGTTTACCATGCATCTCGGCAATAACAAAATGTTCCAAGATTTGAAAAAGATGTATTGGTGGCCCACGATGAAGCGGTAATTTCGAAATTTACGACCTAATGTCTGACGTGTCAACAAGTCAAAGCTGAACACCAAGTGCCAAGTGGATTGGTACATGCGCCTACCATTCCTGATTGGAAGTAGGAACAAATTATGATGGACTTCGTAATCGTACTTCCATGGTCAGTCAAGAAAAATGATGTTGTCATTGACCGATTAACCAAGTCATCTCATTTTATTCCGATCTGATGTGATACGTCATTGAAAAAGTTTGGAGAGTTGTATATCCGTGAGATCGTAAGATTACACGATGTGCCTTTATCTATTGATCGTGACCCACGTTTCACGTCACAACTCTGGAAAAGTCTACAGAAAGCGCTAGGTACTAAACTCAACTTTAGTACAATATTCCACCCACAAATGGATGGGCCATCTGAAAGAACAATCCAAATTCTAGAAGACATGATGAGTGTAATACCCCGTATCAAGATGGGAATGGGAAGAGCTCAAAAGGATTGATAGTACTACTCATACCAACAAGGTGCATCTTCTTTTCGAGAGCTCATCACCTAGAAACTCCAAGGTTAAGCGTGCTTGACCTGGAGCAAATCTTGGATGGGTGACCCCCTGGGAAGTTTTCCTTGGGCGCGCACGAGTGAGGACAAAGTGTGCGGGAAAGACGTGTGTTGGTTTGTGGGGCTAGTCTACAATCCTATGAGAAGACACTTACGGCCAGGGTGGGGGTCGGGGTGTTACAATGAGAGCATGTGTGATCGATTTTGGAAGCAACTAGGAACAATACTTACCGCTAATGGAGTTCACTTATAACAACATTTATTAAGCAAGTATTCAAATGGCTCCGTACGAAGCCCTATATGAAAGACATTGTAGAACCCTAGTATGCTGGACCGAATTGAGTGAACAAAAGCTTGAAGGACCTGATCTCGTCTGAGAAACGGAAGAAAAAGTTTACCTAATCAAAGAAAGACTACAAGTGGCTTCTAATCGACAGAAATCTTATGCCGACCTGAAACGTCGTGATATTGAATACAATGTGGATGACAAGGTGTTTCTAAAAGTGTCGTCGTGGAAGAAAGTGTTGCAGTTTGGTAGGAAAGGAAAACTGAGTCCAAGGTATATTGGACCTTATCGAATCATTGAACGTGTGGTTCCAGTAGCCTATCGGTTAGAACTTTCACCTGAACTAAACAAGATTCATGATACATTCCATGTGTCAATGCTAAAATTATATCGTTTTGATCCATTGCACATCTTAACCGATGGAGCTCTAACCCTTGATGAAAGGTTGACCTATGAAGAAAAACCAGTCCAATTTCTAGCACGAGAAGTCAAGGAACTAAGAAACAAATCTATCCCTCTAGTCAAAGTACTATGGAGAAATCACTCGACTCAAAAAGCAACTTGGGAAACTGAAGAATCGATGACGACACAATATCTGAATCTTTCAATCAATGACTCAAATAATTTCGAGGACGAAATTCTTTTAAGGGGGAGAGAAATGCAACGCCCTAAATATAGGCCTATTAAAATTAACTAATTGATAATTAATTAATTAATTACTTAGAAGGACCCAAAAATAAGTGATTTCTAAAATTTGTCAATAAATAATGAAAATTATATCGTTATGTAGAGTTTGACTATCTGACCACAACGGTTCAATCAGATTTCAATTGAGAGAAAGTTGGACCAAAAAGTGTACCCCGACTAGAACCAAAATTAGTTCCAAACACGAACTTGCATTTAAAATCCGTAGGGATCGCCGTTTGCTCTACTCAGCCGCTAAACACAGGAATCAGACATCATCACCCATGGCTTGTTCCTCTACTCATCCACTATATAAACACCTCAAAACCTTCACCATTTTCACCAATCTTCTTCCAAAAGAGAGTTGTGAGTGTAGAGAGAATTGTAGTACTGTCAATTTGGTGTAAAGTCGGCGGAGCTAACCACAAACGTCGCCGGAAGTTTTGCCGGAAAATTCTCAAAACCTTCATTAAGCTTCGAAGTAAGCCCGTAAGTATATCAAGTGACTAGAATATTTGTATAGATCGTTTCTACGTTCATGAATAGTCGTTTGGTTGAGTTTTGTATTTGAAATGCTTGAAGAACTAAGAATTATAAACCTTGAAATTGTTGTTAAAACTACGAACTAATGATACCAAAATGATCTATGAACCTTGGAGAACATTACTATATAGTTTAATTGAAATTTGGTGATTTAAAATGATATTTCCGAAAATTGGCCCGAGGTTGAAGAAGACACTGTACAAAACTACCCGCATAACGGTGGCCTGCTATTGTCTGGACGGCACCTTGGTACCGCCAGGGCAATAGGCCGTATTGTCAGAACGGTAGGCTAGCTACTGTCTCCATCATAGAATTTGGTTCTCTCTAGCGGTACTTGATACCAAACGGTACGCCATATTGTTTGGGCGGTACCGAGGTACCGTACCACACTACCGAAGTACCTTTAGGGGTACCGTCAGTCCCGAGAAAATTTCAGAAACTTGAATTTTGAACCATTAAATCCTATTTTTGATACCAATCAATTATGACCAATATGAATATGAATAAAAATGATGCTTGATAAATACAAGCCCTTTGTTTGATGCATGATGGTATGTTAGGTTGTTAACACTCGAAGCTAGACTGCTATTTACTATTGAATATTATGTTGGTTGATGATTATGATGACTGCTTATTATGGATGATTATGAATGATGAACCTACTGATTAAAATGATTATTGTTAAGAATTGAACTATGACTAAAATGAATACATTGATGATTATGAAATGATTTGTATTGTTAAGAATATCTAGAAAAACTCTAGGATATACGATTTGGAAATTAATGATGATTATTAAGGATATTTAGAAGAACTCTAAGATATATCCATATTGATATTGGTTTCTAATACTATCTAGAAGACCTCTAAGATAGATTAGAAATAGGTCTTGCGGGTATAACAATAAATATTCACTGGCCGGCCTGGGTAAAAACGTATGTACGGGATCCGCAAACCGAACTTGAGGATCACTTGTTTGGGGATACCACCCAATCCGACAATGAGTATTTCGCTGTTCGATTTTTGGTTGACCTTAAGCAAATGTAAGTTTAAAATTTTGAAAACCTTTTTGAAAATTTGTATCTTAAACTAGGCATAGTTTGATGATTGGATATAAGTACCTTAAACTAGAATATAGTTTGAGAAATGATTAGAAGTATCTTAAACTAGAATTCGTTTAGGGTTGGTTAAAGAGATTGGCCTTAGACTAAGAATAGTTTAAGGATATTGTTGAATGTTGAATATAAATGTTGAATATTAAACGATGAATATTGGATATTGATTATTGAATATATGTACTGTACATTATGTGCATGATATCAAATGAATTGATTATGAATTGAGTTTCAATTTATATGGATGTTCGACGCATTAGATATGCTTACTCAGCTTCACCGCTGAACATGTAGTATGTTTTATTTGTTACACGCAGGTAAACAAAAAGAATGAAGCGATGATTTTCTGGAGGCAGATGAGGCGAGAAGGTCGGAATGGATGTGTGGATTTCAATTACTATTTTAAAGGACATAAATTTGTTATGTTTGTGATTGTGGTTTATTGAGCTTCCGCAATTTTAAATACTCCGTTATTATTCTAAATAAATTATTATAAAATAAAGTTTTAAATGTTTGAAATATTTTGAATGTTTTACGATAGCAAGTTTATACTTTAGTCCGGAAGAGGCTGCAGACCTGGACGGATTAAGGTGTTACACCCCCTCCATTACCAAATATTTTGGCATGTAAAATAAAAAAGAAATAAATAAATAAAAATGAATGATTATGGAAGAGATTGTGTTTATTTTGGGTAAACTTTTGGTGTCTTATTTGGCTATTTATTTCTCCCTTTGTCCCACAACACAATACTCATTTTGATGTATTTTTGGTCATACGATTACACGCTTTAACCATAAATTAAATATAATTCAAGTAAAGAAATGTTATAAAAATTTGATATATCAAAACTAGAACCTAAGATGAATTTAATTATATTAAATTTATATTATAATTTAATACATTTTTCTTACAATTTGTAATGAAAGCATGTAACTATCTGACCAAATACTATTCAAAATACTGTAGGTAAGGTTTTGTTGGGAGAATATTATAGGTGTAGACATGAGTAATGGTTTTTAGCCCATTTTTCTAACCTAGTAGAGAAATAAAGATAACTCGTGCCGCGTTCAGATCCCTAAGCTCTAATTCAATTTCCACTTCGGACTCTGCATTCGCAATTCCGGACTAGAGAAAACGCGACATCAAATCATGGCCAGGGAAGACGCCCTCTAGAGACGAGGAATCGCTTACAGAGAAGATGACCAGAGTAAACTCTGTAACGTCGAATCCTTCCAAAGTTTCCGCGACACCGAATCCTATCTCTCTGTTCTAGACTAGAGAAGGCGACGCAGCTAAGTAAGGTCTCCCGCCGCGAATTTAGGCGGTTGAAGTTAGAGGGCGAAGGTAATAAACGAATCATATGTTAGGCTTTGAGTAAAGTTTATCTTCAATTGCGTTAATTGTTTGATTTTTCCCAAAGATCCAAAACAGGTTTTTTTCGTTCTGAAAATTTTATGATTTATGACCTGGATTTCTTCTTCTGCGGGTTTGTTTAAGAAATAATCTGCTCGTGTTTGATACTAGAGTATTTACTGAAACAGCATCCGATTTTAGCATGTTAGATTCAGTTTTAGACTGTCTTCTGTTGGCTTTAGCATAATTTCTAGAAAGAACTCTTAGAAATTTAATCCGGTAAGGATTTAGAATTTCCTTTGGGTTTAATTTCAAATTCATTTCATGGGGCGTTTGGTTATGGAGGCAATTGAATAGGCACTTGGTTGCTATAAAACAATGGTAAATCCTTCCTGTGACAAAAAATTTTCTTATTGTTACTGCAATGTTGAGATTCTTTTGATCCTATGTTTAATGTTTACGCGAGTATAATATTGTTTATTATGAAATCTAATTGTTGAGTTACTTTGTTTTAAATTCATAAGTATATATATAAATGCAACGATTATCAAGTTTCTTGTGCACACTTTCCTGACTGATTTTGCACTTATTTTGTAGTGAAACTTGGTGTATTCTTGGTTTTGTTCGTTGGTTTTTCTTGTTAAAATGGAGGAACCAAAGCATAAGTTGTCTAAGCGCCCAGACACTGAAAAGGAGGTGGAGGAGCCTCGGCGGAAGAGCCACCATGACCGGGATGATTACCACGGCCATGAAAAAGAGAGGAATGGGGAGAGGCACAAGGATAGAGACAGGAAACACTACCGTGATAAGGATTCCCATGGTAAGGAGAAAAATGTTGAGGAAAAGTATAGGGAGAGAGACAGGGATAGGGAGAAGGAGAAGCACAAAGATAAACATAATGAGAAAGAGCTGGAAAAGAGCTGCAGAGACAAGGCTGCTAAAGATAGTGAAAAGGATAGGTCTGACCGAGAGGGTGCCAGAAAAAAGAAAGATAGAGAGAGGGATCCTGAAAGAGAGAATGAGAAGGTCAGGGATCATGAAAGAGAGAAAGAAAAGGTCAGGGATCTTGAGCAAGAGAAAGAAAAGCAGAGGTACCGGGAAAAGGAGAGCGAGAAGGAGAGGGATCGGGAGATAGGGAAAGAAAGGGAGAAGGAATGTGAAAGAGAAAGGGAGAGAAACAAAGAAAAGGAGTGGAATCGGGAACGAGAGAGGAGAGAGAGAGATAAGAGGGACATAAATAGGGACGAGAGAAAAAAGAACATGGAGAAGAGACTTAGAGAAAAAGAGAAGAGCCACAGTTATAGCAGTGACGATGATAATCATTTTGGTGCTGATGTAAGAGATCGTGATAGAAAGAGGAGGATTGAGCATGATCACAAAAGCAGGGATCCCGAAAGAAGCAAGAAATCTAAGAAGCTCATTGAAGAAAGTGAAGATGGTAACCCACCGAAAAGAAGTGAAGGATCACTAGAAAAGAAACAGAAAAATCTAGAAGAAGAACAAGTTGAGGAACACAGGAAACTGGAAGATGAGATGGAGAAACGAAGAAGGAGAGTTCAAGAGTGGCAAGAGTTGAGAAGAAAAAAGGAGGAGTCAGATAGAGAAAAGCTTGGAGTTGGAGTTGTAGCAATTACTGAAGAACCTAAGTCAGGCAAGACATGGACATTGGAAGGAGATTCAGATGATGAAGATGCTGCATGTGAGGAAAGACAAGGAGTTGATATGGATGTAGATGGACCTGCTAAGCATTTGGATGGAGATGGAGGTGCCCTAGTCACTAATGATGTATCTGATTTAAAAGTTGCGCAGAATGGAGGTAGTGCTATGGATGATGAAGATATAGATCCTCTAGATGCATACATGAATGGTATTGTGTTGCCCGAAGTTGAAAAGCTTAACACTGTTGCAACTTCATTTGAAGGTATGGAGCGTGGTGTAGAAGTTGAAAATGTCATGAGCAACAAAGAGAAGGGCATGAGAAAAGCAACAGGAAGAATCATACCTGGTGAAAATTCTGATTCAGATCTTGATGAAGTTAAGAATGATGAAGATCATTTAGAGGATGAAGATGATGAAGAATTTATGAAACGCGTGAAGAAGACCAAGGCTGAGAAACTTTCTATTGTTGACCACTCAAAAATTGATTATCCTTCTTTTAGAAAGAACTTTTATATTGAAGTGAGGGAAATTTCAAGAATGACATCAGAAGAGGTGGCCAACTATAGAAAGCAATTGGAGTTGAAGATTCATGGAAAGGATATACCAAAGCCAGTTAAAACATGGTATCAGACTGGATTGTCCACTAAGATATTGGATACAATAAAGAAACTTAATTATGAAAGGCCAATGCCAATCCAGGTTCAGTCTTTGCCAGTAATCATGAGCGGTCGAGATTGTATTGGTATCGCAAAGACGGGTTCTGGAAAGACGTTAGCTTTTGTGTTGCCAATGTTGAGACATATTAAGGATCAGCCACCACTTGCTCCCNATAGTGATATAAGAAAGTTTTCGAAGGTTGTAGGTCTTAGCTGTGTTCCTGTGTATGGAGGTTCAGGTGTTGCTCAGCAAATTAGCGAGTTGAAACGAGGAGCGGAGATTGTTGTTTGTACTCCAGGCAGGATGATTGACATTCTTTGTACTAGTGGGGGAAAAATAACAAATCTACGAAGAGTCACATATTTGGTCATGGATGAAGCTGACCGAATGTTTGATATGGGCTTTGAACCTCAGATAACAAGAATTGTTCAAAATACTCGCCCAGACCGCCAAACTGTATTGTTTTCTGCTACTTTTCCTCGTCAGGTTGAGGCGTTGGCGCGTAAAGTGTTGAACAAACCTGTTGAGATTCAGGTTGGTGGAAGGAGTGTCGTGAACAAAGATATAACCCAATTAGTTGAGGTGAGGCCAGAGGGTGAAAGGTTCTTTAGACTGTTGGAAATACTTGGAGAATGGTCCGAGATAGGGAAAATTCTGATATTTGTCCACACTCAGGATAAATGTGATGCTTTATTTAAGGACTTGTTAAAGCACGGGTACCCTTGCCTTTCACTTCATGGTGCAAAAGATCAGACTGATCGTGAGTCCACTATTGCAGATTTTAAAAGTAATGTATGTCACATTTTGATTGCAACTAGTATTGCTGCTAGAGGTTTAGATGTAAAGGAGCTTGAGTTGGTGATAAACTATGATGCTCCGAACCATTATGAAGACTATGTTCATCGTGTTGGACGGACTGGGAGAGCTGGTAGAAAGGGCTGCGCTATCACATTTATATCTGATGAAGATGCAAGATATGCACCAGATCTCGTAAAGGCTTTAGAACTCTCTGAGCAACTTGTTCCTGATGACCTGAAAAAACTTGCTGAGGGTTTCATGGCAAAGGTTAATCAGGGACTTGAACAGGCTCATGGTACTGGTTATGGAGGCAGTGGCTTTAAATTTAATGAAGAGGAGGATGAAGTGAGGAAAGCCGCAAAGAAAGCTCAAGCTAAAGAGTATGGATTTGAGGAAGACAAATCGGATTCGGAGGATGAGGATGATGGAATCAGAAAGACAGGAGGTGATGTCTCTCAGCAGGTGGCAGTGGCAGCTGCTCTTGCTGCTGCTGCTGCCAAAGCCAATGTACCTCAAATTGTTCCAGTCCCACCTACTCAGCTGCAGCCTCATACTGGATTACCCGGTCCTCTTGGCAATATTCTTATTCAAGGAAATGGACTGCTAATGGCCCCTAATGATAGGTCTGCCACAACAGCTGCAATTCTCGCGGCTAAGAATTTGCAGCAGAACTTGGCCAAGATTCAGAATGAGGCCATTCCCGAGCATTTTGAAGCGGAGTTGGAAATAAATGATTTCCCCCAAAATGCTCGGTGGAAGGTGACACACAAAGAGACCTTGGGTCCTATATCAGAATGGACAGGGGCTGCGATCACGACCAGAGGTTTACATATCCCACTTGGAAAGTCACCGGGACCAGGGGAAAGAAAACTCTACTTGTTCATTGAGGGTCCCACAGAACAATCTGTCAAGAGGGCCAAAGTTGAGTTGAAACGTGTTTTGGAGGACATAACCATGCAAGCAACATCACTTCCAGGCTCTGCTCAGCCAGGGCGGTACTCAGTTGTGTAAGGTACTTCCCCATCAAATATGTTCTAAACACATCCTGCTGATGCGTGCCATGAACATCAAGTTTCATTTCATTTATCTTTTGATTATTTGAAATTGGATACTCTACTACTACTCACTTTAGTTGGGTTTTCTTTCCCCTTTTTTCTCAAAATCACAAAGTAATTCTTATTTCTTTTTTGTTTTTTAATCTCCAAAGGATTAAAACTGATATTACTGTTTTGGTACAGTTGATTTCCCCTTAAGTGGACTTTGGTTGCTGCTGCTAATTTTTGCATTTGGTCAATTTACACCCAGGGGTGAGAAAAAAAACTGCTCCTAATTTTTGCATTGACGCTGTGGATTTTGGAGGTAGGAAAGCTCTTGTAGGCCACAATGTTTATAATTTGTTGTTGCACACTTGTTTTTTGGCCTGCCTGCCAATCCCCTTCCGTTGCTGACTTTTGTAGTATTATGTTGGGTAGCCTTTCTTTATACTACGTATTTGTAATACAATAGTATTGCTCAAACTATGGCCTTTTCGTTATATTTGCACAACGAACGCAACTGCAAAGCTCGTCACACTTACTCCTTCAGTCCCAATTTAAATTGCCTGTTTTGACTTTTGAGCATATTTAAGGAAAATAAAAAATAGAGTTGATTTTTCGAAATTGCCATTACTTTTTAGGAGAAGTGATGATGAATGAGAAGATAAGGTGAAAAAGAGTGACTTATTTTAGGGGTAGTTTAGGTATTTTATTTTTAAAAGTTTACGAAAACAGGCAACTTATTTTGGGACGGAGAAAAAGGCAAACATGCAATTTAAAATGGGACAGAGGGAGTACCTTTTAGTCTATCTTAAAAAAATAGTCACACTACATTTTCCTTACAAAATACGGAGTAAAGAATACTTTTTTTATTTTTTCCAAATAGATTCTAATCATTCTTTCTTTACTTTTCAACGCCAATTAAATTCTTTACTTTTCGACGTTAATTAAATTATGTGAAGTCAATAATTTGTACAGAGGGAGTACTTGTTACTCCTGGTCCCACTAGCTTTGGAAAAATGAGGGAGTGACGAAAATTAAGAAAAGTATAATTGTGCTGTAATAATACCTGAGGCATGGATCGTAATAGAATATGAGAGACGATTTAAGAATATATTCTTTGTATATCATGAATGCAGTTCTTTATATTAGATTAAGAGAAGCTTATGATCATGTCACTACTAATTTTGCAGATTTTTTAATATAGTTTTTAAATAAGTAAAATTTCTTTTTAAATTTTATACCATTTTTTATATAAAATTATTTAAAAATAACTTCAGTCAAACATCGTAATTTGAAACAGATAATTTGAATCGGGACGGAGGGAGTAATTAAAGTGTAATTTTATTGTTAAATGTGGTGCACAAGAAAATAATTATATAGGACACCTTTTCAAAAGTAGAAATTAAAACTTTCTTGAGGACGGACGAAAAAGAAAAAAATGAAATTATTTTAGTCTCACATTCTTAACTGAAAACTAACTAAAATAATACTCTTGTTGTACCAATTTAAATCGCCTATTTTGAATTACGATGTTTGACTGAATTTTTTTTTCAATATAATTTATTCAAAAATTAGAGAATTAAAAATAAAATTAACATATTAAAAATCCACATAAAAAACTCTATGAAATAAAAGGTGACATAACTACTTTATTTTATTAAACGAGAATGAAAATAGAGAAAAAGTGAATAAAATTTAACCTTGTGAATTATAAACAAATACGGAGTATGATACGAACTCGTATCGGATAGGGAAGACTTGGAGCGTCTTCAAGCTCTTGAGAATATGAGACGAGGAAGAAGAAGAATTGAGACGAAGAGAATCGGCGAACCGAGAGAGGAGAAGGGATTAGGGTTTTGATTTGTTTATTGATTGCTTTACTCTAAAGGGGGTTACATCTCCTTATATAGGGAAAAAGAAAACCCTAACACTAACCTGATGGTTCAATAAAAGCGACGAGGGAAAGAACCGTAAAGAAACCTCGAAGGAGCTTATAATTCCGCTCACCTAATAAAACCTAAATTACATTAATAATAATAATAATAATAATAATAATAATAATAATAATAATAATAATAATAATAATAATAATAATAATAATAATAATAATAATAATAATAAATATCATACTCTATTATCCATAACACTCTCACTCCCTTAGAAAACCACCTTGTCCTCAAGGTGGAGGATCCCACTCGTGCTTTTGGACCGGAGAGAGGGTGCTGAACCAAAAACGATATCTGCTTCTCGGCCAATTATCAACCAACATGCCTCTTAGAATGCGATGAGAGAAATACGAGAGAGAGCCATTCACGAGACTTGTCGCTTGTAAAACAACTTCAGTACTTGACATCTCAATTTTGTTGGTACATCCATAAAAAATTACATAATCTCTGAAAACTTGAACCTGAAGATATTGGTCGCGATGAGAGTCGTCCCTATCAACATCGTCTGGAAAAACAACATCGGCAATGAGCACAGGAACAACATCAGTAATAGGACCAACATCAAGTTCCTCCTTAAATTCCTGGCCAAGGGAAGCGGTGTGCTGCATAGTTACCGTATGGGGCAAACTTGGTGGTGCAGACGGAGCATTGATGAGGTTCCTTAGCGCGTCCAACACGTGCGTTCTGAAATTTTGTAACTCCAAAGTAATCGACACAATTGAGGAATCACAAACCAAATCTTGTATTGAGCATGAGATGTCCACCTCAAACATAGATTATAAGTTAGAGTCATAAGTTGATTGACCTTCAATATTAGCAAACGAGCGGAGCGTCTTGATAATTTCATCAAGTTGAGCATAAACTAAGCACACTCCTTCATCAAAATCAATTTTTCATCGAAAACAATCTCAATTAAATTGAAGAGATTATCAACCATAAGTGTATCAATACAAGGGGTCTTTGCACAATTCTTGAACATAATTAATTATGAGAGCACCTGGAAAGTCCCCACGGTTTGGTGAAGGCTACAACAATCCAAACTATAACTCTTCAATTTGACTTTAATCACCAAACGGCACCAAGCGGCAAAATGGCAATAGTCTGGACCTTTTTTTCCTTAATTGACAACACCAAACGACAAAATGAGCAGCGGCGGTTCGAAAAACTGAAGGTGGAAGTTGATGCTGGTGGTGAATTGGTACGGATTTCACTCTTGAATTCTGCGATCCTGCGCCTAGGGTTTTGTTGCGTTCTTCTGGAGCTTCGATTTCAAAGAGCAGCAACAGCGGATTTGTTTTTTTTTTTGGTTTTTTTGGGGTGTTCAAATCAATGATAGCACCAATGATACGAACTCGTATCGGATAGGGAAGACTTAGAGCGTTTTCAAGCTCTTGAGAATATGAGACGAGAAAGAAGAAGAATTGAGACTAAGAGAATCGGCGAACCGAGAGAGGAGAAGGGATTAGGGTTTTGATTTGTTTATTGATTGCTTTACTCTAAAGGGGGTTACATCTCCTTATATAGGGAAGAAGGAAACCCTAACACTAACCTGACGGTTCAATAAAAGCGACGAGGAAAAGAATCGTAAAGAAACCTCGAAGCAGCTTATAATTCCGCTCACCTAATAAAACCTAAATTATATTAATAATAATAATAATAATAATAATAATTATAATAATAATAATAATAATAATAATAATAATAATAATAATAATAATAATAATAGTAATAATAATAAATATCATACTCTATTATCCATAACAGAGTAACTTAATTCGAAATAGAGGGAATAACTATTATTACTTCTTGACTATTTATAATTGAGATTATGACTTATGATATGCTCTCTATGTCCCAATTTAAACGAGTTATTTTAGTTTACGATGTTTGAGTGAAGTTATTTTCAAATCACTTTATATGAAAAATGATGTATAATTAAAAATAAAAATTACATATTCAAAAATTACAACAAAAGATCTACAAGATTTGTAGTGACATGACTATATTATTTTGTCAAATAATTAATGTAAGTAAGAAAAGAAAGTGAATAACATTTGACCATATAAATAATAAAAATGCAATTTAATTCGAGGCGGAAAGAGTATATAATTGATATGGCGAATCCAATAAATGGACGACGAGTCAAATCCAAGATCCTTGTTTACTAAGAGCAACTCCAATGGATCTTGTATACTAGTATTTCTACCCGTGCCATGCACGGGTTCGGACGGAATTTTTTTTGATTCTATAATGTGGATCTTGATTTAAATTTGACATATTATTTAAAGGTCAAATATAAATGATCTATGTTTAATGTATTTTTACAAATTTATAATTTTTATCGCAGTATAAATTCGAAAATATATTAATACAAAAGTATTAGTGATCCAATGATTTTAGTTCCTCACATTAATTTAAAAAACCTAAATTACCGACCTTATAATTATATACTTTCTCTGTCCCTGAGTATTTGTCAACTTTTGACTTTTTTTGTCAGAATTGGTAAATTTTGACCTCAAATTAAATAAAAACGATATTAGATATTGATACAAAATTAGTTTTATTAGATTTATTATATCATCCATTTTCAAAATATTTTTTATATACTTAATATATAATATATATTTTATTTATTTCTAAGTCAAATATTGAAAACAATTAGTCGGAAAAGTCAAAACTGGACAAATACTCAGGGACGGAGGTAGTAATTAAAAAATAGGATTCTTCTCATCCATAATCCTTATCTACCCCCCCCCACAATGATTATACAAAGTTATTATTCATTCTTGCATTATTAAAAAACAAAATCTTAAATTAGTGATCGTAAATCTCTATGATTAAAAATTTAATTTTAAAATATTAAGAATCAATTATTCTTCTCACCCACATTTATTTTAAAAAACATTAAAATCTTAGTGCTCTAATAATTTTGTCGGGATAGTATTCTAGTCAAGATAAAAAATGTTCTATCAAAATATAAATAGTTACAAATGAGAAATTGTATTCTTTGATGTGGTTGTAACATGTAACTAAGTCTTGAACTTATTAGCTACTGCACTTTGGATTTTCTGCACAATTTTTCCTAATTTTTTGATTATCCTAAATCTTCATTGTCACAAATCTTCTCACGCTCCCCTCCACACCTTGATCTTCTTTGTCACAATCTTCTTTGCATAAATCTGTGACGTCTCATAAAATATCATCTTATGAAGTTTCCATGTACGGTTGCGTAAATGAAAACGTAGAAAGTAAGTTCTCTCTCATTCAAAATTTCTTAATTTTATTTATAAACATTTTGAATTCTAACACAATAATAATATAACTATGTACTGAGTAAATTGTAAGTTACAATATAAGATTATTTTAATTAAAAATAGTAAACCAAGTTACCGAGATAAAGTTTAAAAGTCCTATTAAATCTTTTTTTAATTTGTTAATTTTAAAAATTCAATATTTTAAAATAGTCAAATTGCATGGAAATACTTTTATTTCATAGTACAATTAGCCATCTTGCCATAAACAAAACTTTTATG